TTATCGATTTCTCATTAATAACGTATAATATTGATTAAACAAATAGATGCATAATAAAAACTTGGAATAAACAAAAGTATATATGCAATGTTCTTTTTTGTTACAGCATGTCCAGGTGAGAATCGAAAACTTTTAGTTCTATTGAATCCAAAATCTGGACCCGGAAGAGGTAGAGAAATTTTCCAAAAAAGGATACATCCTGTATTATCTGAAGCTGAGAGACCATACGACATTCACATCACAAAATGTTCTAATTATGCTCGTGAATTCGTTCGTACCAAAGATATTTATCAATGGAGCGGTTTGCTAACAGTTGGTGGCGACGGGATCGTCTTTGAAGTCGTCAATGGCCTTTTTCAAAGACCCGATTGGGAAAAGGCACTTAAGGAACTACCCCTTGGTGTTATACCCTGTGGTTCCGGTAATGGTCTGGCCAAATCTATTGCATACTCTAAACAGTAGGTTCTTCTTTCTCTTCTTCACTATTTGAAAGCATCCATAAATGGAACTACAACATTTTAAGAAATTTATTTGATTTATATTATTGCACTTTATAATATTTCAATATTGTAAGTACTTGTAAATAATATATAAATGTTCTTTTTTGATATTTTCAGGGAACCATATGATTACAATCCTTTATTAGTTAGTGTCTTGTCTGTAGTAAAATGTAAGAAAGCTCCTATGGATATAGTACGCATTGAAACACGAAACAAAATATTGTTTTCATTCTTATCAGTTGGATGGGGTTTACTCTCTGACATTGATATTGAAAGTGAACGACTTCGTGCCATAGGTGGACAAAGATTTACTATCTGGAGTGTAGCACGTTTAATAGGATTGAGAACATATAAAGGCAAAATATCATATTTACCTTGCGATAAAGTACTGCCAGTTGAAGTTGTTGGCAATGGTAAAGTTTGTCATACAGATTGTACAAGTGATGGAAAAATAACACATTCTAGAAGTTATGGAGATGAATTAGATCGGTACTTTTCTAATATTTTATATAAAATTACCTACTTCATTTCAAAATATATTATAAAATTAAATTTTATAATGAGAATATTTGACAGGTATGGAAATATAGTTGAATCAAAAAGTTTCCATGATGCTTGTGACGATAGTACTAATGAATTAGATTTGCCACTTAATGGTTACAGAGATGATGAAGTTTTAACTGATAATATAACTCTTGAAACTGAAATTGAGGGACGACAAAGGCTGGACAGTTTCTATTCTGCAACTTCAGCAAAATCTACATACTTTAGTACTGGTTCTGTGTCAAGTTATCATAGTATAGATGATGGTGATATAAGGGGACCTGGTATATATCATTTTTTCATATTATACTATCATTTTATGTTGTTAATTTACAAATAAAGTTTTATCATTTTATAGATGTAGAAAATATAACTACAAGTCAAGTTATGTATGGTCCATCTTCAACGCTTCCAGCTTTGACTGCACAATTACCTGATTCTTGGGTTCAAGATCAAGGTAAAAATATCTTATTATACATTTTCATATTTTTCTTTAATTTTAGTAAAAACTTTATACGAATTGAGACAATTTTTTACAGGAGAATTTGTAATGGTACATGCGGCGTATCAATCTCATTTAGGTCAAGATTATTTTTTTGCACCTCGTGCAAAACTAGCTGATGGTATTATATGGCTTTTAATAGTTAAAGCTGGTATTACTAGAGCAAACTTGTTACAGGTAAGTTTATAAATATTTTTTTATCATTTACAGTATGTATATGTATTTTATTACATGATAAAATAAAAAATGAATTTTTTTATTTGTCAGTTCTTATTAGGTTTAAGTTCTGGGACTCATGTAAATTGCTCTGGTGTTAACATGATACCTGTCAAGGCTTTTAGAATAGAACCAGCAGATGGAACAAATGGTCACTTAACGGTAGATGGCGAAGAAGTTGATTATGGTCCATTACAAGCTGAAATATTTCCTTCTTTAGCAACAGTAATGACACCTTGACAAGGGTGATTATTATCAGCAGAATCAATCAAATAGTACAATCCTTAAATTATAGACTCAAAGTTATAGTGAATAAATTTGTTATAAATCACACACTATCATATCATTAATTAATAAGTATTTTCAAATTTGCATATGGAAAGTGTAGGATATAATATTTTAGTACCTTAAAATTGTAATCTATAACAATTTATTACTGTTAATATCGTTTAAAAACTATTTCAGTAGCTTCGTCGTTATGAATTATATATCAATTTTCTATATTTTCTTTTTTGTTGTTGTGTTTTTTTAAATTCGTCGTCTGATTTTTAATATGAAAATTTTTCTATATAATAATAAAATTTATTTATAGCTTATACTAAATATATAAAAAATCAGTATTTAAATAATAACTTTAACAGATGGGATATTTTAAGAAATGTTTTTTTTTTTGAAAGCTATGAAAGAATATAGATATGTTATAATAATAGTATACGAAAAAAAAGATTTTTAAATCAATATTATAAAAAAATTATTCGCTTAATCATAATTTATTATAATATATTCGATTATGCTAGCATATTGTATCATATGTGTTATTGTCAACTTATCAAATGAAAATATTCAAAAGTGTGACATGGCTAGCATGCAAAATTGTATATTATAGGAGGAAATTTTCTCGAGATCTGAAAAGTATATACATAAAATATTATATAAGGTGCTCTTTCGATATTCTATATCACTGAAAATCTTTCAAAAAGAGACAGTCTGTGAAAAAGAATTAAATGATAGAAAAGTTACAAATTTGTACAGTAAAATGTAGTTACTAATGGCACAGAATCTTTGATATCTATTGAAACCAATAATGTTATTTCATATATATATATATATATTCTATATATTTATCATATTGTTAAATAATTTTATTAATTAAGTTCTTTCCTCAGATATATCAAAAATTGATGTTCTATTCTCTTTTTTTTTTATTGCTCTCTGTATTAGAATGAAACACAATTGTATGTGATTTTATATATGTGTTATATGATATATATATAAAATTAAGAATTTTTTCTAAAAAAAAAAAAAAAAAATTAACACCGTTTAAAAGAATTGCAAGAACAACGATAATAATTGACAATTGTGTCATCTTCTTTTTTTTGTAAACTCTTTTATGCCATTTACTCATCCCACATTTTTTAGGATGATGTAATTTTGCATTAAGATAATATGGTGCCAATAAAATTGTTGACAAATAATTAATCATTATAATGCAAAGAAGTTTTGAAAAAAATTCTAACTTATAATAAATAAAAGAAAACTTGCATGTTGCCTTTATTTGTTGTAATGGTAAAAGGTATTTTTAGATTTTTACAAGAGGTACAAGTTTTACACATTTACATGTTAAAACTATGTACTACATATTATATCACTATACATATACATTTAAAGGTATAGAATTTGAAATAATTTAAGAAATAAATTATTACTTACGAGTTTCAATTTCAATTTTTTTAAAACGTTATATAAAATAAGGAGAGATATAGTGATTTTTAAATAAACTTCCTATTAATGTAGTATATATAATATGAAAAGAATATAATATCGTGTTAATTATTTCTACCTCATTACTAAAGATTAGTTGTAATGAGAGATAATCAAGTATATTAATAAAAAAATTAATAACTTTATGCGATTAATTACATTGCTAGGCAATCGTAAACTAAATAAATCCAGGTAATTTACTGTTTTATAAATAATTCAAAATATATAATCTAATTCAATTGAACTTTATGAAAACTATAATACATTATCATTGAAAGAGAAATATATATTTTTTGTATAATTTATTCCTAAATCATTTATTTTACATACAAGGGTTCTTTTTATATATATATATATATCTTTTCTACACTGTAAAATCCTTAATATTTATAATTATTTCAATTAATTAATTAAGATTACACTGCAATATGAAAATATAATATGTTTATTTAATCAATAAAATTAATTTTATCAGATTCATATTCTTCCTATAAATAAAATGTTATATTTTCCATTTGTATTTTATGTTTATGTTTAATAAATTGTTTCCATCTCTTAATTGAAAACATTATAAAATAAAAATAGCAGTATAACCTTATTAATTTTTATTTTCCCACATATACATAGGGTGTTTGAAATTTGTTCGTACCAATATGAGCGCATTCTATACTAAAAAATATAAGAAAAACATATGTTATATGAACATAGATAATTTAAAGCTTTATTCAAAAGTTATAACATATAAATTTTAAAACTTTCTAAATGTGCTATTTAAAGATGTATCTATATAAAGTAAATTCTCGTATAACATGATCAATATGTTATTCATTCTATGAAAAATTTGTTTTTTAAACAACAATGTTTAATTAATGAAAATTTTATTTTTGAATAATATAAAAATTTACGTATTTTATTATATAGAACGTTGTACGAGAGTTTACTGTATATATATTTTTGTATTATAAGTTGTAGTTTAATAAAGTTGTTTTATGTTAATACGATCAATATATACACACGTAAAACATTATATTACTCCGGTTATTTACAAGCTTATATTTAGGTAGAAAATATTGAAATATGTGTATCTTTGAAAAGGTGAAAATTACGACCTTAAGCTCTAATCTTAAATAGCAAAACAAGTATAATGTATATAACGTTTCTTTATAAGTATATTTTGTAAATGTTCTTCTAAAATATATTATAAACAACATATAGCATATTTAAAAGGTAATTAACCTTTTACCCTAGTTAATTACAAACGTTTCTTTACAAAAAAAAAAAATCGAATAATATATTATCTTTATTAAGTGCCTGGTTTTGTCAAATTGAATAGAAGATTAATATAACTAAAATCTTACAATATTATAATGAATAATACAATATACGCAGATTCCTTCATTTATGCTTTGATTTCTTTTACTTTGATAAAAATTGCGTAAATTATTTACTTCTATAAAAAAAAAGAACATGATAAGAAAAACAAGTATAAATTATAAAAAAAAAAAAATAAATATTTTCGATCGGATTGTTTATAAAAGAATTCTCTATTGATCGTATAACATCTACAAAATCCTCCAATTTTTATTTTTACAACAATGAAGCAATAGAGAATTAAAATATGAATGTTAAAGATGTAATAAGTTATTTATAATTGAAATTTCTCATAATTGACAGACCAGGACTTTAAAATTACAAGGATTAAAATGAAGATTATAATGGAGAAAGAAAAAAAAAATAAGATGAGTTTTTCGATATACTAAACATAGCAAACAACTATAGCTATTGTTTTCTCATAACTTATTTTGTTTATAAAATGTTTAGTATTTCTACTGTATTGATATACTATGTATAACATATGAGGGATAAAATTCATAGTATATTAATACAAGTAGTTAATTTGTAATGTTAAGAGAATCTATATTAGCCAGTAAATCTTTAACACCATCCTGTACTTGATCAGATGTATTTGATAGCGAAAGACGAGAGCAAAAGCCACTAAGTGCTTCAACTTGATCAGCCATATCTTTCTGTTTTTGTACATATGCCATTAACATATTAATTATATTATGTACTTCTTCTTTAATCTTAACCATATCTTCTCGAAGAGGTTTACTATAATCTTGCATCATTCTTAATTTTTTCTGCGCTATTCGTAACGGACTACAACCATACTTATCTAATGAGTGTACATTTGTTCCTGCCTTTAAAAGCAAGGTCACTACTGATATATTACTTGCAACTGCTGCTAAATGAAGTGGAGTATTACCTACGATGTCACGTTTATTAGGATCTGCACCATGTTCCAACAATAAACTTACTATTTGTTCAAAGCCTCTGTATATAGAAGTATTCAATAATTAATATTATATATTATTTTGTTTGTTTGATGTTAAATATTATTTACCTGCATGAGGCTAAGTGAAGAGGTGTACGTCCTTGTTCATCACGATTATCTGGTGAAACACCAGCCATTAACACTCTTTTCATTAATTCAACATTGTTTGTGTATGCAGCAAGTCGCATTTTACGTTCCATAAATTTCTCTCGAAAGTCTTTCCAACCAAAAGGATCAGTACGGAAATAATGTAGAGATCTCATCTTTCTTGGTATAATTTTGATACTTTTGACATCTCTTGTTGCAGAAAAAAATTTACTTGAGGGGGGAGCACAAAATCCCTAAAAATATAAATATATTACACAATGAATACAAAGTGAAAATGGTTCAACATTATCTAACTTCATTGTTCTGAATAATATGAAAAAACCTTTACCTGTGAGGGATATACAACGAGTTCTCCCGATGTACTAGCACCTGAATTTGGACTTATATTAATACAATTATAATTACAATTTGGAATTGCTGAATAAAATGGAGTTATAGGTAAATTCAGATCCATTGGCCAAGATGGGTTACTTAATCGAGTAATATTCTGTTCGTATTCTTGTCCTTGATTTTGATTGCTAATTATACTCGTAACGGCTGTAGAAGTATTACAAGTGATCTGGCTACCAAGGACCTCATGTTGTACAATTAAACTATCATTTGAATCGTTTCCAGTCTCAACGCCAGAATCTACCGACGTCATATTGTATCTAAATGTTTTGCAATGTTGAAATGCTTTTCACGCAAAGAAAGAAAGAAACAGATAAAGAAATAGATACGATGTTTATCAAACTCAATCTATGTATATCTATACATATATATGTATCTATATATAAATATATATTCACCTGAGTATTTGGAAATCTATCTGTGCCAAAATAATAACAGAGATGCTAAAAGACTCTCAAATCAGCTGGTTTACAATTTGCTTCTACTGTTGATCCGCGCACGGAGGATAGATACCAGGAGTTGGAACAATATAGAATTCTTCACATTTTATGTGGTAGTCATTTCTTGACCCAGATCATAGTTCTCTTTTTTGCCACTGGCTGCGCAAGTATTCAGAACGTACTAGAGACCCTATAGGAGGGACGCGCCATGTAGATTGCTGGGGGACAGGAACTCGTGTAGTCACGTGATTGCGCGCGAAATATTCAAACATTGAAATAATTATGAAATAATGAATTGCATCAAATACAGAAAAAATAAACTATATTTAATGATAATTAAAAATTTATATTAATAATTAATATAAATAAATAATAATAATATTAATTTATATTAGTAGTTAAGAATACACTGTCGAACCATGATTATTTATCACAAACAATAAGTCTGTAAACAAACGATAAGTTATAGGTTAGATTTGTACATTTATACTTGTAATTATTAAATGAGTAAATTAAACTTACACTTATAGAAAACTACTAAAAAAAACAAAATAATTAAACATAAATATCACAATAAAAACTATTAGTATTCCAAACTTAAACTAACCACAGCCGTTAATACATACTAAAGATAAACATGGCTGCGCGATGCAACGGAAGCTGTCCCCTCACTTTTTTAGCCTTGTAATCCATATGACGCGTCCCTCCTACAGGGTCTCTAGAACGTACCGATACTATTATTATTATTACACGTAAATTAAATATAAAATATTAATTTATTTTTTAGAATTATTTTTATTAAAAAATGGGAAAGTATTGTGCCGTTTATGGTTGCCTTAGTGGCCGAAAGGCAAGTGAGAATTTAGGAAAAGTGGCTTTATTCAAAGCACCAAAAGTGAGTAACCTCAAAATAATATTAAAAATTTTATGTTTACAAATAATTGATTATTACATTTGTGTAGTTTTTAAATAATATTAATTCCACGTTTCTTAAAATATTTTTATTCAGAGCTGTCAATAGCAACAAGACTTCCCGCGTAAGTATTTAAACGAGTACTCTGTGAATAGCAGCGCGCCCTACCGACAAAATATCTTGTCCCCTAAATTGATACCATTCTTTCAACATTACGTTCGGACTCCTGGTATCTACCCTCCGTGGATCCGCGAATCACAGAGAGCCACAGGCTCTGTACAAAGAACTATCAATTCAGAGAATTGTTTTTAGTATAGAAACGTCATAGAAACACACACAACGTGCATCTTAGTAAGGTAGTATATGTGGTTTTCCAATTACAGCACTAAAGCGCTTTATGCGGCATAATGCTCAACGTTGAATGTTTCAACTAGAGCAACGCTTCGCACAATCGAGCACTCTCAAAAGTGCTGCTTTCGCGTGATGCGTGCAATCGATACCAACTCAGTAGCAGAAAATAACCAAGTGTTTTTTCTTTAAGTTGGCATTGATCGAAATTTTATTTATATTATCGTTAGTAGTATTGTTTATTGTTGAAAAAATTCTTAAAGCTTTTTTCTCGTCGTAGTTTTTTGGAAATAATAAAAAGTTTATTCAGACTGTATTAAAAAATAAATATAAGTATAGATGAAGGTATAAACATCGACTATTTTTTTTTATATTTTACACATAAAATGTGAATACAATTTCATTTTAAAATTCAAAACTAAAAATAAATTTATTTTACAGAAATATACTTTTGTCAACATTGCAATGGCTTGATCGAATCATTATTATTATATACCACTTTATTTATACATTAATGAGGTTGCTAAGTCTATGAATATTTTTTTTTCAACACTGAACTTAGTGCACTTGAAAACTAATTCACGTTCCAATTAAGCACTAGCACAATTCGGCATTGTGCGCTACTGAGCAGTGCTGTCAGATCGTGGGTAAATCTTACCCTCTCCCTGTGCCACTGGGATTGCACACAATGAAAGTTTTCCATGTCCGTGTGTTTGGGATGTCGATGAAAGCCGAGTGTAACCGAAGTTGGCAGTTGGCCACGAAGTGGCACACTATGAAAGCGACTCGTGTCCATGTGTTCGGACGACACGAGTCGCTTTCATAGTGTGCCACTCCGGCGTGCCCGCCAACTTCGGTTACACTCGATTTCTTTCGACATCCCAAACACACGGACATGGAAAACTTTCATTGTGTGCAATCCCAGTGGCACAGGGAGAGGGTAAGATTTACCCACGATCTGACAGCACTGCTACTGAGTCGCATTATGCTCTGTAATTGGAAAACCACAATAGTATAGTAGTTTTTTTATTGGCTTCAAACTTTTACAGGCATATGGCCATTTTGCCATACAGAAGCGCTCTCTACGGAGGCGTGTACAAAATCAAATTACAAAAGTATAAAATAAGACATAGTTACCATATAATATTTACGCACTAAATTCGAATGCTGCTAAGTTAGACTATTTCCCTACAATAATTACTGAATATTAACATAAATTTTCGAGATAAAATTCGACAGGATATTTATTACCTTTTTATTCATGGTTGAAAGAAAAGGAGTGATGGAATAAGGACCATACATTTTAATATTTTTCAATTCTTTTAACATAATTTTTCGCTGTTGTTCATATATTTCGCATTGCCAAAATATATGATTAATTGTGTCAGGCTCCTTTCCACATTTACATAAGTCACTGTCAACTATATGTAATTTATAAAAGCTACTGTTTAAACACGTATGATTGCACCTCAAGCGATTTATAACGACAATAGATTTTCTCGATAAATTTGGAAAATCTTTAAACCATGGTCTTTTATGGTTTTTATAATAATATTTAAAGTAAAATACACCTTTACTTTCTCCTAGAGTAGTTATTTGTTGACTATTCTCTATATCACAACTTAGTTTGTACACGTTAAATATATCAGTATAAGGTATTTCTATGTTTACCAATTTGCCGTTACTGACTGCAGACTTAGAGTGTTGATCAGCCATTTCATTTCCAGCTATCCCCTTATGGGATGGAATCCAGATTAATTGTATGTTTTTTCCTAAGACTTTACTATAAGATAAATTATATCTTAATTGTATAACTAGTGAAGATATATTATTTGAATTTTTGCTATTTAGGGATTTCAAAGCACTTTCCAAATCAGTGAAAATCCTAAAATTATTGTCTTCACTTCGGTTAATAATTTCTACACATTTAATTAAGGCCAAAGTCTCTGTAGTAAAAATAGAAGCCAGATTTGGAATTTTATTAGATACATTGTACAAATCAGTTTTACTCCACACTGAGAATCCAACTGAATATTTGCGTTTTCAAGAATTTTTGAACCGTCTGTAAAAATATCAATCATATTGGCATCCCTATTCTTACCCTTAGTAAGGTTCTTGAACGTCGAAGATGGCGCCACCTATTGTTATTAGTATAGAACTATACTTTATAGGTAATTTTGTGTTATTAACGGTAAAAAACTTTAAAATAATTAGTTAACATTGATTAAATAAAACTAGATCTTTATTACCATTCGAATTTGTTTTTTATTTGCTGGATTTGATAACATTAATACAAAGTGTGATTTGAAGTCTTGTAAGATTATTATTCTATGCTTGTAATATCCAAAAATATGGCGCCCGTGTGAAGGACGCTCAATCGAGAATACGGTTCATTAGAGGATTTATAGAAGTAAAGTAAAACAATAATTAGAAAGAAATGAGTAATCTTTCACCATTTGGTGGTGGAAAGAATCCACCTTGGGTTCGTAATGCTGGTAAGACAATATTACGTATTAATATTAAATGGAAAAGTTGCATGTCGTTCCGTGTGCAGAAAACAATGTTGCCAAATTTGTGTTAAAATTTATATAAGTTGAACAAAACTTTTTTCATTATATATTACTTACAATATAATATAATGAATAAATCATGTATATTTATAAATAAGATAATGTCATTTTATTGATATGCTGTATATTCTATTAATATTTGGAAATAATTATTCTGGATTTACATGCATTGTGTGTGTGTGTGCGCGCGAGCGCACTTGTGTGTGTGACGTGTACACGAGTGGGCGGCCGATGTATGAAATAATGTTAAAATCTATACAAATAAATAGAATCATTATTTTATTACAATAATAATAATATTCTATTTTTAAAGCTTATTCTTGATACCTCTTGCATTAATTAAATACTACTTTAATTTTGATAGTATACAGCACTGTATTTAATTGTACAACTTGTACTTTGTTTCATTAAGTAGAAAATACATTAGTCATTTGATTATATAATTTATATTATATTTGATTTTTTTGTATTTGCATTTATAGGACAAGGAATTCAAAATATTCAACAGCAAATGTTAGGTCAAGCAATGGGTACTATTGGGGGACAACCTATGGTTCAATATCAACAACAAACACAACAAGTCTATCAACAAAGCTTGGGTTTACAACAGGTCAATGAAACATGTTATATTATTATCAATTAACAACATTAAATTTATAATTGTTTTTTCTTTTTCTACAGCCTAATATAACAATGGCTTCAATGGCTACTCTTGGTACTAATTTACCATCTGGAATAGCTGGACAATTGTATCCACAAGTTGCTACTGTTTCTTATCCGACTCCAAGAGCTTTAAATACAAATGCATTTCAACAATCTGTAGCTGGTGTACCTCAACAAGTACAACAAAATGTACCTTCATCATCACCAAAACAAAGAGTCTTTACAGGAACAGTTACTAAAGTACATGATAATTTTGGTTTTGTTGATGAAGATGTATTCTTTCAAACAAGGTGAGTAAAATGGAACTGATCAATTATAAATGTTCCAGGTAAATCATATAATTTCAATTTGTATTATTTAATGGAGAAAATTGCAAGAATATTTAATCTGTTCAGTGTTGAAACATTAAAATACAGCCATGTTGTTAATTTGTTAAATTCACTTCTAATCATTTGTATTTCAGTGCTTGCGTAAAAGGTTCTAATCCAATAGTAGGAGATCGTGTACTCGTAGAAGCATCTTACAATCCTTCCATGCCATTTAAATGGAATGCTACAAGAATACAAGTATTACCTATGGTAAATAATAATAACAATACTAATACACAACAGACAAATCAAGGTAATCGACAACAACAACAAGCTAATCGGCCATCAGGAACTTATAACGCTGTACCTCCTCCTACAGAAAATACAAATAATAGGTAAGATTGATTTAATAATTAAAATTTGTCAGAAACATTGAAAAAACTATACCATTGACCATATTTAATAATAGTTTTTCTGTATTTAAATTTTGAAAAATAATTTTATGATTAAAAGGTTTTCAACTACTACAACAAATACAAATATAGCTAGTAACCGTAATAAAGTTGGGAGAGTTAGGGAGAGATCACCGCGTGAACGTAGGAATGAAGAGGAAGAGATTGAAAGAAAACGACGTCGAGAAGAAAGAATTAGAGAACGTGAAAAAAAAGAAGAACGTAGTCCATCAAGAACTAGAAGAAGTAAATCTCCTAGACCTCGTAGACGTACCAGGGTAGTGCCACGATATATGGTTCAAATACCAAAAATCGCTCTTGATTTGTTAGTAATCTTTACGTTGTCATTTTCAACATTAACGAGTTTATAATTATGATTAATCTTAAGTGATATTATTTGATATTATTTACAGACCTGAAGCCGATGTTCTTGAAATAAGAAGACGCTATCAAAATATGTATATTCCTAGTGATTTCTTTTCGACTAACTTCAGATGGGTTGATGCTTTCCCACCACATATGCCATTCACTTTAAACAAACCTTGCTCTTTTCATGTTATGCACAAGGATGTAGATCCATATGTAGAAAATACTGCAGTACTAGAGCCTTCTGATGCCGATTACCTCTTTTCTGCAAAGGTTCGTTAAATTATACAAATGAATTAATTAACAGTTCATTTTTCTTATATTTTATTAACTTAGGTTATGCTGATATCAATGCCTGCCATGGAAGAAATTTATAAAAGATGTTGCGGAGTCTCAGAGGACAGAGACCCAGATCGTGACTATATACATCCCACACGCCTTATAAACTTTTTAGTAGGCTTACGAGGTAAAAATGAAACAATGGCTATTGGTGGACCATGGAGTCCTTCCTTGGATGGGCCAAATCCCGAAAAGGATCCTTCGGTATTGATCAGAACGGCTGTCAGAACCTGTAAAGCACTTACAGGGATAGATTTGTCCAGCTGCACTCAGTGGTACGATTTTGCAAATATTGGTATTCTTTTATGTAACGTACGTTTAAATTACAATTACAGATTTTTTTTTTTTTTCATTCTATTTTTTCTTCAACTTTTATTTTTTTTTATTCATTTTTTGTTGTTGTTTAAATCAAAGCTCCCTCGTTGAGCAATGTGATGTTTACAAATTTTTCTGCCCGTTATAATGCACCATTCAAAAATTCAATTATTGAATTTTCATAAGCCATTATTATGGTAAATTTCGATTGAAATTTCTTTTAATAATCAGTGTCATGTTGCATTCTTATGACCTCAAACTTGTATAGTTCGCAAAATTACATTGTACATAGTTTTCTTGAGAGACAAGCTACTAAAGTTTAAATAGCATGGCGTAGCATTAAGATGCGTCTACGACAGGGTATACCGTTCGTGATTGAAACAAAAAAAAAGAAAGGAAATGTAGATTTTAATAAGTTTCTCACTTGATAAACTAAGATTGTAGCTAAATCTCTACATAGGAGGTACGTATTTATTTTATGCACGACCAACCAACGAAGATTGCTGTGCACTGGATCCTGTTTCAAGCACCACAACGATGAAATACGAGCAGTCGCGGCAGACAAATCATCACTATTGTTCAATTACTGTTGTGAATCTACTCATTTGTGCTTTCTCAAAATGGTCTACGTTGTACGCTGTGCGTGGCTTTGTATGCAGTGCGTGGGCTTAACGAACAAGCGAACGATCACTTAGCATATAAGGCAAGGCTAAGCAGCATTAATCTGAGTTGACGTTTGGGTATTGTTTTTCCTTGCGGCACAGGTATCGCTTCCTGGAACTCTACTACAGACGTGCAGAAACGACCCACAAGTCAGGGCGAGTGGTGCCCTCGCGCGTTGAAACCGTGATACTATTTCTCCCAGATGTATGGAGCTGTGTGCCTACCAGATTGGAGTGGGATGGGCTACAACTCAACTATAAGAAACAACTGGAACGAAAATTGCTGCGTGCTGCCTCTAACCCCGACGATTTGGATGCTGCCAATGACACTGATGAGGCTGCCGTCGCTGATCAAAAGGCACTGCCAACATCATCCCATAATATTTTTACCTTTTTATTACCTTATTATGTATACATGCAGCTGTTTCCTACTACTAAACTGAATTTTCAGTAGGCGATAATTGCCCATCGATCCAACTTATATTAAAATTTTTTTTCTTTACTATTACTTTCTCTACTTAGGAATTTTTTTAAGCAATTAGCTTTATTCAGCAAGAGATTTATCATAGAGATAAATTTTATACATCAAAAAAGGGAATATATTAAGATGTTAGTAGTTTTACGTTATAATACTTTTTAGTTTAGTTCCTTATTAACATTTGGTATTGTTGTTCATAGTAAAATATATCCATAAACAAAGATATTATTTAACTATAATATTAATTTAGGAGTCAATTTTTAAATAGAATTAGTAGCACATAACAGTTTGTAGTAGTTCTCTTAAAATTTTATCATTATCAAATAATTATATTAGATATCAGGTGTAAAAATGATCGATGGGTAATATATTGCAAATTCTCCCTTAGCCATTGGCAGTTTCATTGCATTAACAAGAGACGCAAGCAAGCCTAGCTCGGAGAAGAGCACAGCTGAGCCATTCCCATTCCTGATACCACCTTCACCTCTATCATTGATAAATTATTCATTCATTTCATTTGCTCATCGTTATATACTACTACATTACTGGTAATATCCATAACCTATCAACGACACAGACACCAGAGCCAGGACACTATGAGAATTTAGCAGTTATTTAAGTCATACTTGAGGGACATCGTGAATGAAGAAAGGTGTATCATTACTATGTGAGAGAATGATTAAAGAGAAGAATGGCGAAAGAATGAAGAGGGAGTGGTTTCGTTTCGTTATAGGGGCTGCTTCTGTTTTGTAGATTCCTATTAATCTTTTTTACTTCTGCAAGCTAATCAAGTTTTTCTGTTTTCAGGATGAAATGGCACCAGAAAAGAAAGATCCAACCCATTATTCTCAGTTGGACCCAAAATCTATGAATGTATGTGTTATTATTTTATAAAATTATTATTATACTTAACATATTGTGGACCACTGATGAAATATATAATAGTATCATTTAGTAGGTGATTTTTAGGAATATTTGTCTTGAAAATTAAACATGCTATTAATACGTATTTTTTGACTCTAGTGGTCAACACTTGATTACTGTAGTAAGTTTAACGAAAAGATGATCAGTCCACAATGTGTTAATATTTACTCATTAATATATATATATATACATATATTTATATGTATTTATATTACTTGATAAAGGTGAATGATTTACGTCAAGAATTGGTTGCACGAAATTTAAGCTCTAAGGGGCTAAAATCGCAATTGCTTGCACGTCTTTTAAAAGCCATCAAATTAGAACAGGCTAAAGAAGAAGGCCGCCAAGATGACGTAGAAGATAATGAAGATACATCACCACCTCCAAAAGAGGATGACGAAAAGAAATTCAAGGAAAATAAAGATGTAAAGGTCGAACATAAATAATGTGTATATATATATATATGCATATATATACACATAATATATTGGAAGTATTTAAGATTAAGATAGATATATAAATAATACTACATAATATAATTAATATTGAATGATATTTAAGTGTTAGTATGTACGTTAATTTACAGCATGACGAAGATAAAAGAAAACTATACGAACGTGAACGAGCCATACTTGAGAAAAGATATACACTACCAGAATCTTCTCACATTATTGTTCATCCATCTAGATCAGCAAAAAATGGAAAATTTGATTGTACAGTTATGTCATTGAGTGTTTTACTCGACTACAGACCAGAAGACACGAAGGTACATATAAGTCCTTTATTTATTAACACTAGATATATAACCATTTTTTATTTCTACCACACTAGTCAAAATGACTGGTTTATACAAAAAAATGCTTTTTGAGGCTTTCAGTCTTTATTTATTCTTAAAAAATAACAAAAAATGTTTAACAATAATAATTTTAATAGATGGATTTATATAAACATTTTTAAATAACAAAACGCTTAATTATTTATAGAAATCAAATGTTACATGAAGTAGAAATTTTGAATTAAAATGGCCCGACCAGTCAAAATGACTGGTCTGGTTATATCTAGTGTTATTAAATCAATTAATTCTACAAACTAAAAAGTAGACAAAATTAATATAAAATTACATGTTAACTGTGAATTAAAATCATATTTATACTTTTGATATATTATTTTTTAATTAATTTGAAATAATTTATATTTTTCTAGGAACATTCGTTCGAAGTGTCTTTATTTGCCGAATTATTTAATGAAATGTTAATGCGTGATTTTGGTTTTCGCATATATCGATCATTATGCAACTTGCCTGAAAGACCTAAAGAAAAAGATGAAGATAAAAAAAAGGATAAAAAGGATGATAAAAGGGATGAGAAAAAAGATGATAGAAGACGTGAAGATGATAGAAAATGTAATAATAAGAAAGAGGAAAGGAGAGATGACAAAAAAAGGGAAGGTAGTAAAGATAAAAAAGATGATAAAGAAGCAAAGAATAAAACTGATGATAAAGATCGAGACAAAGAAAAGAATGATGATGAAGATGATGATGATTTCGAGGAATCTGAGGTATTTTTTAACACTTTCTGATTCATTGATTTGTTATCTTAATCTTTATTCATAATAATATAAGAATTATCTTTTGTAGGATGACGATTCGGTTAAAGATGGTAAAAAAGATAAAGACAAAGATGGAAAAAAGAGAAAAACAAAACTCTACACATATGATCCATATTTACTTTTATCTTTTGTATATTTTGATCAAACACATTGTGGATACATATTTGATAAAGATATTGAAGAACTTATTTATACATTGGGATTGAATTTGTCACGAGCACAAGTACGTAAATTAGTACAGAAAGTGGTTACCAGAGATTCCTTGCATTATCGAAAATTAACTGATAAAGCTAAAGATGATAATGGAAAAGATGAAAAAGATGCAGATAAAAGTGACAATGGAAAGACTCAGAATGAAGAAGATTTATTACGTTCATTGGCTCTTGGTAATTTTAATTATCTTTTAAACTATTTTGTGTTTAATATATTGCAGTTTGTATTAAAAGAATTATTTTGTTTTTAGGTAACAAAAAATTATTACCTGTGTTTGTATCAAGTGGACCACCTTCTAAACGTGCTAGAAGAGATGATAAATCAACAGGAATAACTGAAGAAGAATCGATACCAGAAGGATTTGTTTTATACAAAGGTTCTTTATTAGACGTTGAGAAATTAATTGGTCAATTAAAAAGATCTGAAAAAGCACGTGTAGATACTGAAAATCGTATGATAGAATTGCAAAATGAATTAGGAATTGTTAATGAAAAATCAGCAAAACAAGGAAACAATTTAAAAGGTTTATCCGAAGATTTAAAGATTTACAAAGATAAATTAAGATGTACAGATGAAAAACTTAAGAAAGTATCGGTAAGTTATTTTTAAATTGAATAATTTAAACAAATGAAATAGTATTATATACACAACGCTGGTGACTACTTTAAAGGACAGTAACAGCAGCAAACATATAACTCTTTTGTATCGGTTGTGAATAAATAGTTGCCACTATTTAAGTTCCAACCTACGTATATATTATTTAATAATATTTATCATTTTTTTTACAGACTGAATGTAATAGTTATTTAACTGCAGTAAAAAATATGTATCATATAGCTTCTAAAATGATGCAGGGTGACAACAAAAAGGTAGAAGTTGTAGAAATACAAGATGAAAAAATTGTAGCTGAAGTTAATGGCTCTGAGATAGAAAATAAATGCAAAATTGATACACGATGGGGTGATAGTAAAAGTGTTGTAAAAGAAGAAATTGAAAAGGATAATAGAAAATGTGACAATAAAATTTCTAATAGAAAAGAAATTATGGAAAGCGACAAAGAGAAGAAATAAAATGGATATTGTTATTAATAATGATATACATAAAATACACATTGGGACAATTTCATAATAAAGTATGATTGTGTTCAACATTATTAGAGAACAACTCTATAATATTAGAATTTAACTTTTCACATGTGAAAGTCAGTGGATAAAAATTCAATTTCATAAAAATTTTGCATAAAAATGGCAAAATATAGGAAAAATTCTTGTTATACTAAACGACTGATATATAATTAATCAAATGTTTAGTGATTAAAATAATAACAAATGTAAAACTTATTTATTATTATTATTATTACTTTTTTTTCTATGGAAACTATTGATTTTTATTTAAAAAATAAATTCTTCAATATATTAAATGGAAATTTGATCTACCATAAAGTGCCAGGTGATAATATATAAATAATTTTGATTAACATTTGTATTTCATTTTACATATATCTCTATACAGTGCTTTTTTTTTTGTAAAAAAAAAAAGAGGTGCCAGAATTCACTATATGTCAAAAGTTTTCATTAAAGAAAATTATATTTTAATATCATTTAAATCTAAAAATACTGTAAAAAGAAAGGTATATTACAAAAGTATTAAATTTTTGACGCAATATGCGATAATTGATGCAATAATAATATGTTATATAATCTTTATATTTTTATACTTATACACCGCACTTTATGTTTTTTTTAATGTAGTAGCTAATTAACTTGGTATTCTTTGCATAAAGTTTCTTTCTTGGTACATAATTATTACAATAATTTTTGATTTTTGTACATGTAACATATTAACATTGTTTTCTAAAAATGGCATATGTGTATAAATCATATATTTATTAAGTTATATATATATATATATATATATAACATAATAAACATAATAAATAAAAAAAATCGATTAACTGGCTTTTACATTACCAATGAAATTATGTATATTATAGTTATATACAATTAGTAATGTAATTTAAACATTATGCATCGTCGAGCACGTCAATTGTATATATATAAAAAAAAAAAAAAAATGAAAAAAATCTGCCATCTAAATTTTTATAAATCAGCTGTATGCGTGATTTAACCTTGAATTCATAAGTGTGAGTGTGAAAATTGAATTAATTATATAACAAAAGACATAATAATTCATATTTCATCTTTGTACGTGATTTTTACTATTTAACTTAACAACACTTTATTCTTTTTTTCGTGTAGTTTAAGTTTTTTAGTCCTATGAAAAAATCATACCGTAATAGAAATTGATATTATACGAATCATTTACATAATACATACAATACTATTATTAGCTTAATGAATATCTATTCAAACTGTATTTGCCCAAAGCACATAATGAACACCACATATAACTGTAGTATTTTGTACATAACTGTTTTATTTGGAAAATTTGTAATACGAAAGTAGCAAATGAATACTATGAATTGAAATCAAATTGCATAGAAAGAAAAATAAATTATAATCAAGCAGTGAACTGGAGTATATAATAAAAATTATTAAGTGTAAGTAATGAATAAACGCTAGTAAAAAAAATATAAAAAAATTAAATAAGTAAACAATTTTCCATATATTTCATTTTTCTTTCTATATATATTATACTTTTCTTAAGATAATTTTCTTATATCTTTACTTGTATTTTAGAAATACAAAGAATAGAAACAGATATTAAGTATATGCATCTAAGTAAGAAAGAAAAATATGTTTTAAGAACATACCTGTATTTACAACTATGAATGTAAGCGTATTAAAAAATGTACAAATTAAAAATAAATTGATTAATAGTATTAAAGTATGAATTTATTATTTTCTGCTTATAATATATCTGTAATGATACTTTGTAATGAAAAATCTAAACTATTGATTTAATAAATTTTTAAAAATTAATTTAGTAATTTCTGTACGGAAATTTTTTCGAACGATGGAAAAAATAAACTGTCTTTTTATATATTGATATAGATTAATATAAGAATGAAATAATTATGAGGATTTCATTTTATATAAAAATTGCAAATGCAACAGCCTTACTTCATGAGAACAAAAAATATTTCTATGTATGGTTTACATACAGAATGTATAGATGCCACATCACGTGTAAAAAACTTGTCAACACTTGTCAAAACACTTGTCACAACACTTATCATACATGTATATTTATTATATAATTTAGATAAAACAACAATTATGATAAAGAAAACGCGTTATGAAAATAGACTTGAGACTGACCGACCACATACATTCCTGTTATGACGGCTGACGGGCGAATGGCCGTCTCGTTGCTGGTAGTGCGCATGTGCTCATGTGCGCATGCTCCCAATGGTGGCGCCTTAGTCATCTCGATCGGAACGCGCCTGGCGACGAGAATCAATACTCGGCGAGCAGTGCAGCCACAAGATGTCTCCTATAGTTCTCTCGGCATAGGGATCCTGTAGAAGGGATGCGCCATGTACATTGCTGGGGGACCGGAACTCGATTTTGCGCGCGAATGATTCAAACATTGAAATAATTATGAAATAATTAATTGCATCAAATACAGAAAAAAATGAACCATATTTAATGATAATTAAAAAATTTATATTAATATAGAATAGGTTACACCAAAAAATTATTATAAATTCAAAAAGAAAGATTTATGGGAAATCCAATGACCGCGGGCCGAATGGCTAGTTACTGACTTCTACAGGGTCTCTATCTCGACACAGCAAATAGATCGATTAGAACGGTCCAACTATCAATGCTACCAACTTTAATGATTGATATAATATTACTATTACAGAATACTATATAATATTTTATATTTCAACGTTAAATATGAATAATGAATTATATTACAATAATCTATAAGTTATTTAATGTGATAATGAAATAGTTATTTTATTTCAGTTTCTACAAATAGATGTTTTTTTACTTCGTGGCGCCTCCGCTATGAATGTTCCAGTATTTACATCTATTTCGTTCATGTTTCGCTCTTAATTCGTTGCCAATAGATTGAAATAGTTTAATGGAGGAAATGTGTACGTAGATTGAGTCAGTAAAGGATTTAAAATTTTTTATGTGCTAACAATAGTCAGGAATAAAAAAGAAAGTTATTGTAAGTATTAAACAAATAATTATTTTAACTAAATTTTTCTATGTAAATAATATCAAAAATATTCATTCAAAATTATAACTGAACATAATCGAATATAACGTCAAGAATAAACGTCAAAAAATATTTTAAGATAACTTATTATGATTATATCCTTTAACTCGGTATATTTTATTTTATGATATGATAACATAGAATAATAGAATTATAAGAATAGTGAAAAATTAATTGTGTTTAATTATGATATAGATAATTTTATAAATTAATCATTTGTATATTTTTAAAGTGAAATGTCACAGATTACTGTAACGTCAAGCGTAATGGAAAGAAGCATTCATGAAATGTTAAAAGACGCTCCTTCATTAAATGAAAGTGATAGTGCTGTTCATTCTGGAACACCACCACCACATGTACCGAATAATTGTACTGGAGATAGTTTACCAAGACCAGCTACCATAAATTTAACTGTAGGCAGCTCGGTGCCGCAAACATGTATGTATATATTATTATTTCTTATAATATTTTTATTGACATTAATTATTAAAATACGTAGCAGTTAATAATTTTGAAAATTATATATAAGGAAAGTTTTAAAATAAAGTTAAAACTTTAACAGCGGTCAATGTATCTCCAAGTACACCTATCCAAAATGGAGATACGCAAACAATGCGTACAGCTCAAAGTAAAATTGAAAGTATTAAAAATTGGAGTATTTCTACATATAAGTGTACTAAACAACTTATGTATGAAAAACTTGGGAAAACATCACGAACTGTTGATTCTGGTAAGTTTTTAATGGTTATTCAATTGATAGAAATTTGTAAAAATTATTTAACGTCACTGTCTTTCAAAGTAATTACTTTTCCTTTACATATTAGTTATATTAACATAATACAACTCATATGTAATCCACACATTTAAATAATATTCAACTACAATATGTACAATATATTATAAAATATAATTTTATTAATTAAATATTATTTCTAGAACTTGAGAGTCAAATAGAATTATTGCGAGACACTCAAAGGAAATATTGTAATATCTTAAGATTATCTCGGGCTTTAGCCTCTCATTTTCATCATGTAGTACAAACTCAGCATGCTTTAGGGGAAGCATTTTCTGAATTAGCACAAAAATCACCTGAATTACAAGAAGAATTCTTATATAATTCAGAAACACAAAGAAATTTGACTAAAAATGGAGAGACACTGCTAGGGGCCTTGAATTTTTTTGTATCTTCTGTAAATACTCTTTGCAACAAAACTATGGAAGATACTTTACTAACAGTACGTCAGTATGAAATAGCACGGTAAGGTGACAATTATAAAATAATTTATCTACATTAAAATAAAACTTTATGGAAAATATAATATTCATGCATATGCAGTTAACGTGCTCTATTATGCAACAGGATTGAGTACGATGCATACAGAACAGATCTTGAAACACTAGCACAGGCTATAAAATCAGATGGAAACAATGCAGCAAGATTAGAAGAAGCACAATTGAATTATGAAGAACATAAACAACATTTTGAAAAATTACGTTCTGATGTTTCAATTAAATTAAAATTTTTAGATGAAAACAGAGTATGAATATTTATTTTAATAAATATTTCATCACACCTTTTTATTATACATTATTATATAAATCATCTTTTCTTTTCAGATTAAAGTGATGCATAAACAATTACTCTTATTTCATAATGCAGTATCTGCTTATTTCTCTGGGAATCAAACTGCATTAGAAGCAACACTTAAACAATTTAATATTAAAGTTAAATCTCCAAATTCCTCTTTACCATCATGGTTGGAACAGTAGTCTTTGATTATGTGTATTTGATGATCATGAAGAATATAAGAGAATGCATTCGTCCACACGAATCTCCTTTAATACAACATACAGTAAAGGTAGGATTCCTAGATATCAGAATAGTTACTCGTACATATTGAGCTGCCGAATACTTTATCAGTTTAAATCATTTATAAATCAAGAAAATGTATTATATGATGTAAAAATGACAGACTGAATTGTATTGATTATAGTTTCTCTCTACTAAGTCATAAAAAAACCAAATTTAGTGTCTATGCAACAAATTTTCGAAAACAAGTATTCCCATTTTATTTTCTTATTAAGTGAGATATAAAAACTGATATTTACAATCACGTATATATCAAATTCTCCTTAATTAAAGAAGATACTGAATATTTGTTTTCAAAAAGTTATTAAATACTACGAGTAATAACCCTAAAAACCCCATACATTGTTTTATTTCTGACTTATTTGCTTATTTAATATATTTTTTATTTATTTTATATATATATATATATATATATATATATATATATATATATATATATAATTATATTATAATAAAATTTAAAAGTGATTTATTTAACCAAAGTTTATTCATACAAAAATTTGGAAGTGAAATGTTTTAAAATTTAACTCTTGGGGTTTATGGGGTTAATTATTAAATTGCTTGGGCAGTGCTTAAAATAAAAAAAAGATCTGTTAAAAGATCATGACAAATATTCAATGCTTTTAACTTTTTTAAGTCAATATATGTTTAATTTTATATATCTCCAACTTCTTAGTAAAATTTTCATGTATATAAAAATTATTCTCATAAATTAATATATATGAAATTTATAAAATGTGTTAGAAATAATATTAATAGCTTGTTAACATTTTATTTTTTCAGTTTATATAATGAAAAAAACATTGTCTATTGATATGATATATATCTTACTACTTACAGGGGAATAACTATCAATTAGTTAATATCATCATTATAAATTTTATGTGATTTAATTTGAAAAATTAAGACAGTTCTATAAGTTTTCTTAAAAAAAAAAAAAAGAACACTCAATATATTGTTATAAAATGACAATCTCTTAAACAAATAAATTTCAATATACTTTAAATAATAATAAAATAGAAAAATTTTTTTCTATTATATTTATTATTTATAAAATTTATAGAATAATTATTGATTGAAATGTTGAAAAAAAGTAACTTTGGTAAATTTGTCAAAGTACAATACGAATATCTTCCTAAGTATTTCTATCTTAAAGAAGTAATTATATGTAAATAAATATTAAACAATATTGATTTCTTTTTTTACACGTTAAAAGCATATATAATAAATAAGTTATTCTAAAAGCTAGTCAAATTCAGTAATATTTTTTAATTAACAATATAATTACATAATATATATATTTTATTTTTTAATTTTGCATAATTATTTGTGATATAAATAACTCAAAATATAATATAATGCTTTTTATTCTTATATTTTAAAGAAATAATATTAATAATGCACCATTAAATTGTTATGCTTCGTATTATATTCTTGTATTATTATTAATTATTTGCTCGTGTTTTAAATGTAGATGATGACATAGAAAATTCAAATCTGTTTTATTAGGATTAAATTATGACCATCAATGCGATATTTCAAATTTCTCAAGTTAAATCTTCTGAAGCGAATATGAAATATATTATGAACACATCGAGTATATCAAATTTATGTATGTCAGTGTTATATAAAATGTGTACAAGAGTTACACAATGTTTGAAATTGATTATGAATGATCTTAATTATAAGTAGCGTATCATTCTGCTTTAGTATATTATATCATAGATATTTTATTTAATATGTTTTATGTTTAATGTGAAGAATGTGAAAAAAAGAAAGAGAGAAAGAAAAAAAAAGAGAAATGTTTTAATATTAATGATAATTTAATTATTGTTAAAATTTCATTCCTGGTATAAATTTTTAAATTATCTATAGTTTAGGAGATATGTAAAACTTGCTATATATAAATGCGTATGAAAGTAGTTTCTAGATAATAAATTACTAGATAACTGTATGAAATAATTTACGTAAAAACAATATACGGCTTAATAGTTTTTTTATGTGTAAGAGAAAATGTAGTTTGTGTAAAATATGTTTCAGGTTCAGAGATTGCCTCTTTTTTGCTTCAAATTAACAATTGTAATATATAAATCTTTTTTATTGTCTTAATTTTTTAAATTATCAAATCTTCATATGACAAATGCAATAGTATTATATTAACAATTACATAAGAAGAATGTTCTACTCTGTGATATCATATTAATTCAATTTGTGTTGTATAATATCAAATTATTTATTTGCATGTAAACAAAACTATTTTTTAATCATTTTTAATAGAACATTTCCCAATTTGAAGTATCGAAAGAGATAATTATCCAATTTGAAACATTCTACCCAGTATGTTCCTAATTATAATGTTATTGTGTGTGTATATTATGTGTATACAAATTCTTAATAAATCAATGCTTATATAATCTGCAATTTTTTTTTTTTAAATATAACAGTCATAATGATTTGACAAAAGTTTATTATTATACTATAATTGTTACTGCTGTAAATATTAAATTAAACTTATAAGTCCTTGCACATTACAATTAAGTGTGAGAGATCATGATACATTTCACAGCCAAATAATGGAAAAAAAGAGTCTTACTCATAATGAATCTTATATTAAAACCTACATTTTTTATAATGATATATTGGGTTAACAAGAAAATGATTTCAATTTGCATCAGTAAATAGAAAACAAAAAGAGAAAGAGAAAAAGAGAACCTAAGCATCAGAGCAATAGTTAAAGATCAGAACATCAACTTAATAAAGAAGGAATAATGATTATTACATATGTACAAACAAAGAAGTCAGTTATATATTCGTAACATAAATTATAATTAATTTATGATCACATTAATTTAATGAAGAAGGAAAAAAATAAAGATTATTACATATGTACAAATAAAGAAGTCAATTGTATATTCGAAAAAAAAATTATAATTAATTTATGATATTCCTACTTCTTGTTTATCTTCTGATTGTGCCATTGTTGCAGCTTGAGTATTATTCATTTCTTCTATTCTCTTACGAACTAAAACAGGTTGAATTTCCATATACAACTCCATAATTTTGTGATTTGTATTCACATGCTTATTTGTACAATTTTTAATACATAAATCCTGTAAATAAAGAATATATTTACAACACATTTCTAAAGGTTATACACATTACAATATGATTTAATTTATAAAATAATCTACTGTTAATTGTACCTCATTAGGAGTTATAACTCTATTAAGACATGGATTGGCACATCTTTTGAAACAATTCTCCGTTATTTGATTAAATAGAAAATAAAAATCTCGATACTAGAAACAGAGAAAATGTAAGGTAATTTATGCATACTTTGTTATAACCTATTATAAATCACAGTATTATATAAAAAAGTTACATTTCTAATTTGAATATCCATTTTTAAGATTGATGATATAATAAGTTATTAAAAAATTATATTAGTGAAAGTAATGCAATTTGAAATTCTTTCATCCATTTACAAATAATAAATACTTTTAAAAATGCATGTAAATCTGCGGGACTTCTAACCAACAACTTCCCTATGTTTTGTTTAAATTCACTAATGGAATATCATTTGTTCTTAGATGTTTCATTAAGATAGTAGAACTACACTCGTATGAGCTTCGTGATTCGTCGTTACAGCGTGACCATCAAAGCACGTTGATTGGTCCTCAGAATGGTTACTTGATTGCATTAATTGGATGCGAGAGCTTGCATCAATATTAACTTCGATTTAATTTAAGCTTATGTCCAAACACATATTCTTAAAGATACTCTTATATGCAGTCTTGTTACACTTCTTATAGCGTCTATATATATATTAACTAGTAATTTAGTTACCCTAGTGACTAAATATACATCTCAAATGGCGATAGATGGCGGCCATGCTACATTTTGTATTTCGTCCTAGTTTCGTTAGAGGACTTGTAAGTAAGGTTAGTCAGTTTTTTAAACCAAATATATGCCGTTTTGATCAATCACTTTTTGCCATTTTTGAGGTAAAATCATAATCCCATCGGTGTAGAACTGTTGTGATTTTTGGGCGAAAAACTGCAACAACTGATTTTCACAGGCTTCCTTTGAAGTCAACTTTACACCATTAAGAGAGCTCTGTAGAGGACGAAACAAATGATAATCTGATGGAGCTAGGTCAGGACTATATGGTGGATGCATTAAAACTTCCCAACCAAGACCTCTCAATTTTTGATGGGTCTCTAAAGATGTATAGGATCTGGCATTATCGTGATGGAAAACGATGCCTTCACTATTGATCAATTCTGGTCGTTTTATCTCAATTGCTTGATGTACTTTATCTAGTTGTTGACAGTAGAGATTAGAATCAATCATTTGACCGGGTGATAGCAACTCGTAGTAAACAATACCTTTCCAATCCCACCACACACACAGCATTACTTTACTTGACGCAAATTCTGATTTTATCACTGTTTTCGAAGATTCACTTTGTTGCAACGTAATCCATTTTTCATCGCCTGTAATGAGTCGTTTCAAAAATGGTTCAATTTCGTTCCGTTTTAGTAATGATTCACAGATAAAAATTCGATCCATTAAATTTTTCACTGTTAAATTGTATGGCACCCAAACATCGAGTTTCTTTTTGTATCCAGCTTTCTCCAAATGATTTAAAACTGTTTTATGGTCGATGTTTAATTCCTTACCGATATCATGACTGCTAATGTGTCGATCTTGTTCAACTTTTTCTAAAATTTCATCGACTTTTTCAGTGATTGGTCGACCAGAACGAGGTGCATCTTTGACATCAACATTTCCAGATTGAAAACGTTTAAACCAGCTTTGTGCAACACGTACTGACACTGCATCATGTCCATAAACATCACAAATTCTTTTAGCTGCCTGTGTCGCATTCTTTCCTTTTTTGTAATAAAATTTCAAAATGTATCGAATTTCTTCTTTATTTTCACTCATTTTAAAGACATAACAATTATTGAGATTGAATGAAATAAATATTACAACTTTTATTTTATTATAAACAAATATAATATATTTATAATATGCTATCTTAAATGTACACACAAGTATTGTACGATCCGATTGACATACCAGAATTATGCGATACTAAAGCCATCTATCGGAAAAATACGAAAAAACTTTTTCCCCAGCTCAATGTAACATCTAGCGGTAGATCACTGCATATATATGATAATGATGTGTCATCTACCTAATAAAAAATTAACTTATAGTTCCAAAGATAAATTTCATTAAAATGATACAATTAAAACATTATTAACATACTTATTATATGTTAAATATTCAGTTTATATAAAAAAAATTAATTACAAATAAAATACTCTTAATTTAAATCAGTTAATAATTTATCGTAAACTATTACGTATTATAATACAAAAAATGTAAAATGATGGTGCGCCATCTAAAATTTTACTAATATTAAATTAAGAAATTCATAAGATTTCTTTTATATTTTCACAAATCAGGCAATAAACCTAGTATTGTGGACATAAATTATGATTAAGTCAATTTGCACAATGTTATGTTTTATCCATTGAGTTTGATAGATAATGTATTTACATTTTCATAATATTAATGAGTTCGTTTAAAAACTTTTATAATGTTTCTAAACTTGAATTTAATGATTTTGATTTTCATTGTTATGTAAAATAATGATATTAGGATTAAATGTATATTAAATTTATTCGCAATTTGAATAGAAAAATTCCAATTAAAAAAAGGTACGAATGTAGTTGTGTTTAATATAATCACGTGTTCTGCTTTGGTATCAGTTTCGTTGTATCACGTGAAAGAGGTCAAAAAATAAATTTCATTTTAATCTTCTCTTATCAATGACAAAGAAATAGGTGTGTATGTTTATCAGTATATTTTCCTTACTTTCAGTATACCACAATGGCTTTTTACTTTAAATAATATTATTGATAGTTATAAGTATTATGAATGATTTGTTTAATAAAATATAATATATTTCAATAATTTGTCAAGTCTCAGTTAATTTGAAAACATTTTGGAATTATTATCACATATATGCGTCTACACATTTGCATATCATTTATAGGTAATGCTAAACATTCAAAAAATTTCTAAAAAAATTATATTTATAACCTTGGTTATACTAAGATATATTGTAAATTTAATTATTTAAATTTGAATAAAGCAATGAATGCTGCTATTGCTTTATGTACATTTTGTGAAATACATGGGCCTAAAGTAATATTTACCACTCAAACTTATCGTAATTATGACAATCAAAGTAAAGAAAAGTTAAAATTTTATGGACCAAAAGAAATACTGAAACAAGCACAGACTACAGTAGATGAAGGGCAACAAGAATGTGAAGGCTGTCAAAGTATTAACAATTTAAAATACTTGAGTAATGAGCATGATACTAAAACATCATTTTTATCTGCTCAACAACCATTAACGCAAGACATTGAAATTTTATTAAAACATGCATGCATCAGGTAATTTATATTTTAAGTATTTTTATATTATTATTTCAAAAGTATATGCAAATTATAAATTTTATACTTTATCTAAGGAGTCTCAGTTGTGAGGTACATCCAGGCAAAGAAGGTGTTTGCTATTTTGGAGATGAATACAGAGGGCATGTTTTAAGTCGTACTTTTACATTAAAAGATGCCCAGGTGAATTATACAACGAAAAAGCATGTTTGGTAGCTATTACAACAAATTATTCAAATCATCTTAATAATAGAGTTTCCTGTATTGTAATATTCTAAAAATCAAATTATATATATACATGCATACTTTCAAAATCATTTCGCGCGCGCGCGTCAAGATTTTATAATCCTTATACTCTTATAATCTTAATCATAAAAAAAAAACATTTACTAACTTCGATAAAGCTTATGTATTATAATTCTAAAATATAAAAAAAAATGATATTGATATGAATATATTAATCTATTAAATATCCTTTAATTATATTCAGACTTAATTTTTTGTTTACAGGCAAGAGGCTTTCGCAGATGGTGCAGCTTCATTGTTTTCATGAGGGACAAGCAATTTTTATTGAACATGTGGCCATTTCTAATTGATAATCTAAGAGAGGTCATCAGAGAATTGCAGGATTGTGCAGAAAGAAAATACAATATTGAAGAAGCTGAATGCCCACAAAGGACTATGCGTTTGACTACAGCAAATAGCGGCTCAACCTCCTGTCATAATACAACAAAACAAGTTAGAGCACTTAGCAGTATAACAAATGAGAAGCATGTTTATGTCAGGTATAAGCAATACTTTATATTGCTCAAAGTACAAATATATATTATTAGATTTTTGCAGAATCCACATGTGGCTTGTATGGATTCTCAGTGCAGGCGCTAGACATTTTATAGAAATTCTACCAATGAGTTTACTAGATAAGGAATTTGATTACAATTTGGAACATCGTATAGGTCAATATAATGAATAGACAAAAAATTCAAATATATATCTATGTATATTATAAAATTAAATAACATGATATTTTTTAGAAACTGAAGAAGGATTCACTTTGGTTAATACAAAATTACCTGTTAATTTGAACTTAAATACAGAAGAATCTCAAACATCAGAATTTTCGGAGATTTCAAATAATACTGCTATTCTCATTCTAAGAAATTTAAAAGAAATACTTGGCAAAGATCAATTTAGACAATTGTTATACTCCAGCTTAACTGGCATTCAAATTTTAGTGAGAGGTCCAAAAACTCAAAGAATTGAATCGTTACATGGTCTAAGTTCATTGGTACCAAAAGCATGCAGAAGAGTACATACACAAGCAGTAGAATATTTGGATTTAAATAAATATAACTTCATTGGTAAATAAAACTTCGTAATTTAATTGTAATTTAAAACATTGCAGATTTCTTAATAGATAGTAAAAACATAATTCTTCAGGGGTGGATACATCAGTAGCAGTACCTTTACCATCTGCAAATGTATGTAGATTGGATATTATAAGTGATGAACATAAAGCTGAAAATACTCCGTCGCATATCGTCAAATGGACTGGTTTACTTCCATTAAAACTGCCTACATTGTTGTTAAAACTTGAAAAATCGCTGGAGGATAAAAAACTTGGAAATTCTGTTCTTAAAGCACATTTTATTGCTTTACAAAAAGAATGGGCAAAGTAAGAAAATATATATATGTGAATTGAAATAAATAAATAAATAAAGTGAATTAAATAAAATATAAGTGATTTTGTTACAGTATAGCAAGGGTTGTTCATGCGATGCGAGGCAGAGGTCATAGAGCAGATCTTTCTGGTCTCATGCTTAGCTTAGGAGCTGGTCCTCATGATAAAAAACTATTAGATGCATGGTCCATGGGTTTGCCATCAAATCCTGCATAATTTATTTGTTGAAATTGTATGGATTGTAGTATACCATTGGGTACAAACACATTGTGTCGTTTCTTACACAAATCCTTTCCTAATTTTTCATATCTTTTCATGGCGAATCAGAATATTAAATATTAACTTCCTTCCGGTCTTTTAAAATAAGAATTTTAAAAACTACATTTTACGTATAAAAGAAAAATGACGATGTTGAGAAAAAAATGAAAAAGCCGTGATAAAACCATGCTGTTTGTGTGCCTTAAATATTATCATTGAAAAATAACATATACTATTGTATCAACATTTTATTCACTATATAATAATATTTACGTAATAACAAAAATAAATTTTTGATATGAAATAAAATCACTTTTTATTAACAAGTTGAGATTTAAATTGTTTAATGAATTACTCAGCGTATAAAATATTTTACTCTTGTACTTGTTTTTTGGAACAAATTTTAAATACTGAAAAGTAAAAATTGTATTAATATATTTGATAATGATTTATATTTATGATACTTTCTGAAAGATGTGCATGTGCGTAACAGGAGTAATATTCGTAATAAATAGGATTTCCTTATTTGGAAAGTCACATAAACAACATTGAATAAACGGATTATTATAGAGGACAACGTGCCAGTCTGAAGGTGAATTTCGAAGAGGACGGTACTCCGATCATATATTGGGTGTTTTTAGTTAACAATACACATTCCTTTCGATTAATTATCGATCAATTATGATAAATCGAACACATATGCATATATGCATATCTCTATAGGATGTTTATATTGTTTGTTAGTGTACAGGCATACATGGACATTTAATATAATACAAAATACGATCTATGAGATTAATTTATAGAAAGATTATTAAGGGGACCTTGCTGTCTAGCGGGTGACAATTTGACTGCTTTTCAAAATTTTTTTTTAATGAAAGAAATGAACAATGTTATTTAAATTTTGTAAGAATGTTTTATTACTTATAAATTTTACAAAATTGGAAATTAAAAAAAAAAAAATTTTTTATTATTTTAAAAATGGTGCTGAAGTCGTCCCTTCGAAAAAAGTTGACTTTGCTACTGTTAATCGATTTGGTTCTTCCACTTATCTGAAATCAAAAAATTAAAAATGATCCTTAATTATTATGAGTATATCTATCGCAGGAACTAAAATGAAAAAAAAAGAATAATAACAAAATGGCGTATTGTCAAAATTACAAATCGTAAAACAGCCTGATTTTTACAATGTTTTGTTCATAAACAAATTATAAATATTTAATGGAAAATTTTCGTTTTAGTCCCAGCGATAGCTGCCAGTGTACTTAATAACATATTTTAATTTGAGATGAATCGGTTGAGTAGTTTTTTTTAATTGATCAACATATGACAGAAAAAAGTAGTTTCGAGATAACGCGTTTAAAATTTTAAATAAGTATTTTCTCAAAAAAATTAGATTTAAATGTCTACTTAGATTAATCTGCAATTCCAACACCATACAGTATCCCTTCAGTCTTCTCATACTCTTCTATTTCTTCAGTTTTAGCTTTTTTACGAGCTGTTCTGGACTCTTTAGAGTCACTCGTGCTCTGACGATCAGCTTTATAAATTTGCTGTGCATCACGGTCTTGGGCAAGTTGTTCAGCATATCGACCGATTTTAATACCCATTACGTCCATTATTTTCAATAAAGATTGAAAGCCTTCATTGAATGCGCAAGCAGCAAAACATGTAGCGATGTCGATGATTTTTTTCCCAGAAAATAAATGCTTCGGCGCAAGATGCCATACACAAGCGTTGAAGCTTTCATTGTTGTTTTGAGTTATATTTAACACCATGTAATTCTTCAGATCTTTTGAATATTTCTATTATTATATCTACCCCCATTTTACCAGAACTATCTTCATGGTTAGCATCACAGTGGACTTTATACTCCTCATACCAGACCTTATATTCATCTGTGTCCGTTTTCCTGGTCTAGCTTGCACATCCTTGGCAAATGCGGCTTTTAACAACAACGTCCAAAATTTTGTTACTATATTTTCCTATTACTGACACCATACCAAGAAGAGAAGAAAAACCACGTTTCGCCCATGACCCATCACCAATTATCCACAGTTCATTTGCCGGATTTCCTCGTTCTTCGTTGAGCTGCATTTCTTCTTGTACTGGCTTTTTAAATACAATCTTTGCAACAGCCTCTGCTGCTATTTTTATATTATTTATAATACTGTAATAAGTACTATTACAAAGACCCCGTCCTAGATCCATCAATCCGCAAAAGTTATTTATGCCTTATACTCCAACTCCAAGCATTCTCATTGCAAACACAAGTCGACGGTTGATTTCAAACGCCTTATCAATAAAAGGAGAAGATGGAATTAAAGTTTCTTTACACTAACACTTTACTGAAAGCTTGAATCCTAATCCACGTTGCCCATTTTTACTAAAACCCACGTCATAATTACATTCTTTACATTTTAATAAATGTTGCAACGTAAAAAAAACCGCTGTGAATTGAATAATACAATAACTCATACTAGGTTCGACATTTAATTCTAATTCATCACTACTTTTTATTTTATTTGCAGAGGTACTAATGTATTCTGTTGCATTTTCACTTGTATATCTATTACTTTTGAATGATCTTTTTTTTTTGCTGTGGAGCTTGGTCTTCTACTAGCACCGCTACCTTGCTTACGATCCATTTTTTTAAAATATATTTTTTTAACAATAATAATTTTACTCCATATTATTCTGTCTGTGTAGACCGAGTTATACTAACAAATTTAACTCTCAAAACTAAAATATTTTTACTACAACTCAGGTAGACAACTCAGGTAGCACCTGCTTTTCTAAGAACAATAGAACTATTCACTGAGCGGACCGACCCTTCTACCTACTTTGGGCCTTCAATGGGCTGTAAAATTTGAAATACTGTGAATATCATTACTAAATTTTCACAGTATATTCTTAAGATACTATACTTTCGAAATATTGAAAAAAAATCGATTTTTTGAAAATTCTAGACCGAAAGGTCCCCTTAATAAAGCATTATTAATAAACAAAATAAATATCAAAAATAAAGGTTAAAAGTTTGAAAAATCTTTGATAAAACGCAAAGATGCTCTTAGATTTTCGCAAATATTTTTTTTAACCGACGATGCCTGGACTTACAAACAATGGATGTTAGAAAACACGTTTTAAGGAATCAATTGATATAAAGGATATTGATGTACGTTTAAAAAATACATGCTAATTACCTGTAATTATAAGGACGACAGTAATTGCATCTCAACTAAGTCCGTATCCAGAATTCCACTAGGCCAGTGACAGTGATCCCAGAGACTTTAGTTCGTCTGATTGGCACAGGGGCGTAAAATTATCGTACACACCGGAAAATTATCGTACGCACAGGAAAAATTTTGAATTTGTACAATTTGTCGGATTGGATTTTCAAATTCTAAAAAAATTGTCTAAGTTCCAACTTTTTCAAAGTTGATGACCTTTTAGTCTTCAAGTTCAAAAAACCTATCGTAAAAACGGTTAATACGGCGTACGACAAGGAGAAAGCCAGATCGTACAGAGATCGTACACAGATCGTACAGTGGTGGTTCTCGAGATTTCGAATCAAAATCGAAAAATCGCAAATCGCAAATCGCTTGTTGAACCCTAACTTACCCGTTTGCAAAATTTGATGACTAAAAAAAAAGAAAAAGGTCATCAATTTTTTGAAATTCCTAATTGGACAGAAAATCGAAAATTATCGTACAGGCTGAATTTTGGATCGTACAAAGCTTCAAATTATCGTACGCATACGATAATTATCGTACGAATGGGATCGCTGCACTAGGCGTCTCGTAATTCGAAAAGTTGAACATTTGACTTTCTGTTGCTCATTCGCAGAACGTTTTTTCTATGTAACCAATCAGCGATCATATAAATTGCTAATGGATTCGCGGTATATTAAAAAATATAAGTTCATTTTTTTTAAATAATGTTGTGAATATATAAAATCTTTATTTATACTTCACGTACATATACATTAAATATGTTTTGTTTAAAAATATACTCCCAACGATTTAGATTTGAAAATTCTCACGAAAGACTGCAGGCGTGATAATCTGCAAGCGTTTAATATATCCAATGAAAATTACTTAAAAAATAACAATTAAATGAATTTCCGATTATTGCTTTTTAATTATTGAAAACTTATATAACAATATTATTTTTAAATAATTATTAATAAACAATCGAAGATCGACTGGATATTCTATAGAATGAGCGAATTGGACAAATGAAAGCTCCGCTAATAGCATGGTTGCAAGTTGGTAATTACTTCCTGTGACTGTCGTTACATGACACTCGGCTTAATGCCGGGGTCTTCATACGCCTAACGTGCGCCTAACGTTGATTAGTAAGTGAAACAGATTATACAATTAATTATATTCTATACAAAGATATATTTTTTATTTTATAATATTAAGTTATAGTAGTTGGTATCATGTTTTGTATTTTTTGTTAATAACTATATACTAACATCAAACATAAAATATATTTAAATTTCGCGGTTATATAGTTCATTTTGAAAGATTTGATGGCGCTGAAAATCTTACATGCTAGTTAAGACAATCCTAATGACACTCATGCTCTTTCCACGCATATGTGTTGCGAGAAATTGTTCTTATTCTTGTGTGATTTATATGAAAGTTAATACATCACTATAGGTAAATTTAACAATTGAAACTAAATATAAATATTTATAGTATGCTTATAATAATATTATAAATATTCTTTATGTTCATTTTTATAAGCAACTATTTAATAATTTTTTCATAACCAGTCATAGAACCATGCTTTTGTACTACAAGTAGGATTTAATTAGTTTTGACTTTTTTACCATATATATTAAAAATTATACTCAAACTTGTTTTTTTGTTTTTATAAAAATTATTGATGTAAGTATTGGAAATATATTATAATATATATATAACGTGTTATCAATAAAAAGTAAAAGTAATATACTTCCAATGAAGGAAAGAATGTTAGCATATGATTTTTAATTTATGATTTAACACTTTGTATTGATTATAGATCTTCCAAAATGAGTCGATTTTTTGCTAATGGATCAGATTCTGATTCTGGTAGTACTTCTGAAGAAGAGCAAGTTCAACGAGTACCAACTACAGCATTTACTGTAAGTATAGATTTGTTTTTAATATTTTGCTATATGCAAGCCAACTGTACACATGTCAAACAATTAACATAACTTTTAACCTTTTCTTTAAATCTTCTTGTTTTAAAGAATTTAATTAATATTTAAAATAAACTTCCTTAATTAGGTTTAACACCGTTAAGTGACAACAACTTTTATAACTGTCAAATAATAAATGATATGACCAATATATGTAACTTTATCAATTTTCTATACTTTTGGTTTTGTCAAGTTAATTAATTTAGTAAATGAAGAACTCGTATAATAATTATTTTCTAATATACAGTTCAGCGATGAGGAAGAAGAAACTAAACGCGTTGTACGCTCTACAAAGGAAAAAAGATATGAAGAAATTGCTAATCTTATCAAACTCATAAGAAACTATAAAAAGATCAAAGATATGAGTAGTATGCTCTCCAGTAAGTATTTTTTATTGTTATTGACTCTATAAAGTTTTCACAAGTCTCAAACCTTATTATAATGCAAGACGGTATAGATGTTATATTTTATATCATATTTTTTCTTTAGGTTTCGAAGATTTAATGCGAGCTTATCAAAAAGCTTTGCCAGTAATAGCAAAAGAGGAAAGTGGTCAGACACCACGCTTTTATATTAGATGTTTGGTAGAAATGGAAGATTTCATCAATGAAGTATGGGAAGATCGTGAAGGACGTAAAAATATGTCTAAAAACAATTCTAAATCTTTAACATCTTTACGTCAAAAGCTTCGTAAATACAATAAAGATTTTGAAGAAGACCTTTGCAAATTTAGAGAAAATCCAGACCAAGATGATGATGAAGATGAAGATAAAGGTTATTATTTTGTAATTTTTGTATAAGTTTATTAAGTTAAGTGTTTTTATATTTATTAAAAATATAAAATTCTAGGTGAGGAAGCTTTGGAATCGGAAGAAGAAGAAGATAGTGCTCTTTTGTTCAAAAAGGGCAGTTCAGAAGCTAGCGAACCTGACATATCTAAATTTAAGGTAATTAACAATTTATACAGTAAAGATATAAAATAACTTATTTAAAAATTTGATTAAAATACGACTTATGTTTACAATATTATAGAAGAGTATGCCTGATACTGAAGATGGCAGTGAGAGTGAAACTGATTGGGGCAGTGATTCAGAGAGTGAAAGTACCAGTAGTGACGATGAGGGACAATATCAGAATTATCGAGAACGTTTTATTAAAAAGTGAGCAATAACAATTATGTACTCTTTAAATTAATAATTACAATGAAATCTAACGTTTTATTCTTTTCTATCTAATCTAACTTTATTCATTTTTAGAGCTGCAGATAAAGAAGAAGACGAAGATAAAGTTAAGAGAAAAGAACAGAGGAAAGAACGTAAAGAAAAAGAACGAAAGAAGAAGAAAGATGAAGATGACGGTGAAGGAGAATGGGAGACAGTCAAGGGTGGTGTTGCTATTCCTTCGGAAAAACCCAAAATGTTTGCTAAAGATGCCGAAATTAATATTTCTGCTGTTTTAAAGAAACTTTCTGAAGTTATTGCAGCTCGTGGAAAAAAACGTACTGATCGACGTGAACAAATAGAATTATTACACGAGTTACAATCTATTGCTGATGCACATAATCTTGGGCCAGCTGTAGCAGTCAAAATTAAATTTTCCATTGTTTCATCTATCTTTGATTATAATCCTAAAGTATCTGATGCAATGAAACCAGAGTATTGGGCTAAGTAAGTTCATTATTTATAAAAACATTTTGCAAATATATTATTAATCTCTAAATTATTCTACATATAGAATATTAGAACGTATAACAGAAATGTTGGACATGTTGTTGGGTACAACAGATATGATGATCTCTGAAACTGTCTCAGAAGATGCAGAAGAATATGAAAATCCTCCATATAAATTACATGGTTGTGTTTTGACACTTGTAGAAAGACTTGATGAAGAGTTTACTAAATTATTGAAAGAATGCGATCCACATAGCAATGAATATGTAGAAAGGTAAATAATTGATGTTGAGCTTAGTGCGATAATAAACACTAATTTTTAGCTACCAATTGGTTCCAATTGTATCATTATAGATTAAAGGATGAAAAACAAGTTGCATCTATCATAGACAAAGTTCAAGAATATCTTGAAAGACAAGGAACCGTGTCAGAACTTTGCCGAGTTTATCTACGTAAAATTGAACATCTCTACTATAAATTTGATCCCAATGTTCTAAAGCAAATGGAAGTATGTTTTGAACACTATTATAAAAACCTTATTAAGAAACCTATGTCGAATCGTCATATAAATTCAAAGTGTTTCATATCTCATTGCTAAACATAAATATTTAATTAATCAATTTCATTAGGGAGAAATTGGACCGGAAGTAGTTACATCTGTACAAATGATGGAGAAACTTTGCAGATATATATACTCTCACGATAACACTGATAGGCTTAGGACACGAGCCATTCTTTCCCATATTTATCATCATGCCCATCATGATAATTGGTTCCGTGCTAGAGACCTTATGTTGATGTCACACTTACAAGAAACAATTCAACATTCTGATCCTGCTACTCAAGTAATTATAAATATTCACATGAAATTTATTAATTAAAAAATATTCTTATGTGTGCGATTAACAATTATTATTCACAGATATTACATAATCGCACAATGGCACATTTGGGATTATGTGCTTTCCGTCACGCAAATATTAAAGACGCACATAATTGTCTTGTTGATCTTATGGTGACTGGAAAAGTAAAAGAGCTTTTAGCACAAGGTTTGCTTCCACAACGACAACATGAACGAAGCAGAGAACAAGAAAAAATAGAAAAGCAAAGACAAATGCCGTTTCATATGCATATTAACTTAGAACTTTTAGAATGTGTTTATCTCGTCTCAGCTATGCTTATTGAAATCCCATACATGGCTGGTATGTTTATATATGTTATAAATATACATATACAATTTGAATTGATGACTCATTAATATTTTTCTAGCACATGAATTTGATGCAAGAAGAAGAATGATATCAAAAACATTTTATCAACAATTAAGATCAAGTGAACGTCAATCATTGGTCGGACCACCAGAATCCATGAGAGAGCATGTTGTTGCAGCTGCTAAAGCAATGCGCAATGGAAATTGGTCAGCTTGTAATAACTTTATTATTAATGAAAAAATGAATGCAAAGGTAATTTTATTGTTATTATATATTTCACTATTATAGATTATGAATGATCTCATTCTCCATTTTTTCTAGGTTTGGGATTTATTTTATCAAGCTGATAAAGTACGTTCAATGCTTACAAGATTAATAAAAGAAGAATCATTGAGAACTTATTTATTTACATATTCACATGTTTATGATTCTATTTCAATGCCTAAACTCGCAGAAATGTTTAAATTAAAACGATCAGTTGTCCATTCCATCATTAGTAAGATGATTATAAACGAAGAGTTAATGGTACAATTACAAATGTTAATCTTTTATGTTTTATTAAATAATATAAAATATATAATATTATAATTCTCATATTTTTTCTCTTTTAGGCTTCTTTGGATGACCCAACAGAAACTGTTGTGATGCATCGAAGTGAACCTAGTCGTTTACAATCACTCGCATTGCAACTAAGTGACAAAGTAAACAATTTTGTAGATTCCAATGAACGTATATTTGAAATGAAACAAGGTAATGTATTTTTGTGTGGAATGTATATTTTCTACATACATACATATATAATAGTGTATTTGTTACCAATGTAAAATTTAATGTTATAACATGTAAATATTCATTATTTCAGGAAACTTCTTCTCGAGAGGAAATCAAGGAAACTTCCGTGATCGTCAAAATTATAATCGACAAGGACAAGATTGGGGAAGACAGAGACGCGATCGTGATCGTGATCGTAATTAAGAAAAAATCGTAATTATTGAAATAATTATAAAATTATTTACTTGAATGTTTGATATGTAATATTATTATTATTACATTATCTGCATTCAATTATACATTGGTATTATACGTGAAATACGTATATAACGTATATAATAAATTTTTAAAATCATTCATGTCATCTTTAATTTACAAAAATTCTTTGCATAAAATTAATAAATAATATACAAATTGAATATAATAATTGTTCATTATAATCTCATATTTCTTGTATCATTTCAATAAGTTTATTACCAGTTATTATACTATCACTTACGAGGACAAGTTTAATACCCATTGATTTTTCTATGAGTCTGCATGCAGCTATTTCTGCATTAGAGATTCCTCCAATAATACAAATTGCAACTATTTTTGGCGAAAGTTTACCACGTTGACCATTGATAACAGAATCTGGCAACTTCAATATATTATCAAAAGTTTTACTTTCTTTATCCTGATTCACGATAACGTTTAAAATTTGTGCCTGAATAAGAGAAATTATAATCATTATTATTTTTTAAGCCTAATAACGAATTAAAATATTTTAAAAGCAGACATATTGATACTAACGATAAGTGGTATATAAGCATTATGAAAAACGTAGCTGGGACACGTAGAATCTATTGATTCAATATATTTTGAATTATTTGGTAAAAGTTTCAAACGTTGTACATTATTAATCCACTCATTATTTTGATCTGTTAATATATTAATACCACTTTCTGTTTTACTTTTTAATAAACCTATGGTCTGCAATTTATAAAATAATGGAATATGTTTGTAACCATGTGCATGAAGATGTAATTTCTGAATCGTTTGTAAATCTGAAGAAGCAATACCATCATTAAAAATGGATAACAAACATAAAAGACGTAAACATTTTAATGGATTTTCATCTGAAAAAGTAAATATAATAATATTATAATCTTTTAATAGAAAATTTAAATTCTTGTATTTATTACCTATATTTCTCTCTATATAATTTAAACACTCTTTTTTTCCTTTACGTTCAAGTATCAATTTTTCAATACTTTGAAACGTTTGAAACTCAGATCCCAATGTGTCTGCAATTGTTTGACAAGCTGATATATGAAACATTAATTGTTGTTTCATATCACTTGATTTTCGTAATTTTGTTGCTATATATTGTCCCATTTCAGCAAGTTTCATTGTTTCTATTGCTTCTTGTTCAGCTACCATCAAACAGATAATAAATGTTATTATTTTGATAATAAAATAATAGAATTAATAAATGTTAGGTGAAAAAAAGTACATTTAAGCAATTTAGTCTTTTCGTGTAATATTGGGAAAACATTACTGCAAGGTATGTCACGAACTTCTCCATATATTTGGTCTTTATCAGGATCTAACTTTGTTCGTGTTTTACCAGAAGATATCACACCCATATTTATGTCAAAAATTTCATTTAATAAGCCTGAGTATGTTACTGGCGTCAACAGTGTGGTAACTTTATCATAACTTCTATCCATTAAAATAAAAGCACCAATTTCATTTTCCATTTTACAAGATTTTACAGATTGCTTTAATGACTCAATAAATTTTAAAATTTGTTGACTATATTTTCCTAAAGACAGTGTAAATTTGGGTGAACCAAGCACGAGATATAATGACCACAAATTACGTGCCATTGCAGGTAGAAAAGTCCCATCCTTATAATAATATAAGTCCGTAAACATTGAATTTTCAAAAGATAAAACATTTCCATCTAATCGTATTAACTCATAACTTAATGGATATACTGTAATTAATCCGCTAAGTCCTGTGTAAACAAATATCAAACAAAATTATACAGATCATAATTTTTTAACTATAAAATACAATATAAAACTGACCTTCTTCTTCTATTAATGTATGCAATACAGTAGGGATAAATGGTACAACTAATAAATGATGACGGACCTGTACATGAGACGTAACATGAGATAATTCTGATTGAATTTGATCCAGTGCCCTTTTACATGAGATTAAATTACTAAACACCAGAAATATTCGTTGACTATCTGATGGTTTTAATCCTTGTTCCAACTTATATATTTTGTCAACTTTATATCGTCTATACACACATATACATATATAAAATAAATGAGAATTTATTATTAATAAATAATAAAATGATAAGATTAATGTATGTAACACTCACTTAAATGTGGTGACTCCTATAAAGCTATCGAGTATTTTCATAAGTTTATGTTCAATTATTAAATCTTTAGTACCAGGAATCATATTTAATAATTCAATAAGCTTTCGTTGACTAATTTGATGTAACACATTTAGTCTATCGTGTATTGTTACATCCATGATGAAGACTATTTGTTTTTAGATATAAACACTTATTTCAATATATTTTAAAACTATTGTTTTTTTTTAAATTATTATTTTAAATCTTCATATAAATGTATAGAGCTAAATATTTATGAATTTTTATATTGTAATCTAAAAATTATACCAACAACAAATATATATATATATATATTTTAATATAAATATTTTATTTAAATAAATATTAAAGTAACATTATGTACTAACCATATTATATATGTATATATGTATACATGTAAATATGTAGCAAATTCCAGTAAACATTATGCATTTGGATATAAACATGTAAACATAACTTTTAATCATATAATAAATTGTATATTAACCATTGTCATACATACAAGTATATAACTACAAATAATATTAATAATCCTATAATTAATATACATTAGTTTTGAGCAATATGTAGTTTTATTTATATTACTATAATAGAAATACTTAATTATCAATTAAAACGAAATGAAAATAATTATACAAATTAATCGATTAGTTCGTCAACGATTCGCGAAGTACAATGCAAAATTTTTATCAATGACTATTCTTTTCGTAGATACACTATGAATCATTGATTAACTACTTTACAGACACACTGAAATTAATCATTAAATCATTTGATTTTATTTGTAATTACAAAACAGGATTATTAATTAACCATCTCGTAGAATTATCTTTATTATGCTTATCATTTTGTCAATTTTTAAATAGTAATAAAAAAACAAATAAAAAAGAAAAAGAAAAAAAAAATATATATATATATATATATACTATGTATATAAAAGAATATTAATTTCACGATAACTAGAACTTCAATAGTTAATTATTAATTTCATTGTACTATATGACTAATAATAGTGTACGTAAAAATTTATAATTGTAATTGATAATATTTTAATTGTAATTCTTTGTTGAAAATTTGATTAAACATTTCCAATGTAGATATGCGTTCCCTTATGTAAAATATAAATCATAGAAATTAAATAATTCTATTAGTTATACAATAATTTATAAAAGTTAAGTAATAATTTAAAAAAGCATTCTCTTTCTCAGGGCACAAGAAAAAATACAAATATTCAGATGTGCATCGATACAAGAAAATTTATTTTTCGAAACTTGCGCACAACGTTGATGAAGGTTATTTAAAAATGGCGGACGCATGGTCTTCCGACACTACCTCAGATTGTTGTATTGAAAGTTTCTCTGATATTATGTCCGAAAAATCGGAATGCGTTGTCGTTGGTCAAAAACCTCGTCTTTCTTTTCATCGAAGTAAAATACATTTCTTGCAAAAATTATTTATAAGAGAAGTAGGTATCTTAACCTTTAAATTTTTTCGTGCATTGCTATGATTGACAGATATGAAAATTTGGTGATGCATTTTTACTTAGAAAAATTTAACATCAAATAATAAAATATTATTAAGCTAAAACATTAATTAGATATTAATTAATTTTAATTTATATAGTTTTTTGAATGACATTAAATATTGTATGTTTTTATTTGAAATTTCTTTCTCCAAATTATAAAGCCTTATATACATGATCTGTCTGTAATATTTCTTTTTGAAGAATATATAAAAGACAAATGACTCAATATATTTTTTTTACAGATCAGAGGTAGTTTGTCATTACATAGCAATGCTCTTGAAGAAAGACTGTTTGCAAGTGTACCTTCTTGGAGACATTTGTCACTCTTGCATGTCATCCCAAAATCGGCTCTCGTGGCAGGGTATATATTTAATACAAGTTATATTATATAATTAAAATATAATATAAAAAATAAGTAATTAAGATTAATTTGATTAAAGGCACATCGTTATGGGATTGACACAATGTGGACAATTTTTGTTAACATATACATATATGTTGGATGTTAGTGATAATACGTCTTTGTATAAGTATATGTTACATTGGTGGGCATTTACACCAAATCGTGCTGCTCGTAAAGTGGCAGAAGTTACACTTTTTGGAAATTATTCTATTCATAGAGAACTTAATATAGTAATATCACAATGGCCAATGGAACGAAATAAATTAGTAATACATGGTCTTTGGTAAGTTTTAATTTATATATATATTTTTTTATATTGTTTCTCCTTCTTTTTATGCAATTTATTGAGATTAATATTATATTTGTAGCCATCATTGGTTGCATCAACAACCAACGGACAGAGCATATTTAACAATAACTACGGTACCTTCTCTTGATAACTGTAGAGATTGTTTGAAAGTTGCTGCATCATACGAAGAAGAAGGAGAAGGTAAAAAATGATCTTTCATATTTTGTTGAATGTACATAAAAAATGTACTTTTATATTTTATAGATTTAGCTGAAAATTGGGATGGATGTGTACGCTGCAACTGTTTGCAACATGGACTTACTGTGCACACATCATATGAAGTTATGTCACCATACCCAAAATTTCAAGCTTCTGTGTGTTTAAATTATTGGAATTATGTAGTGGTTAATACAGGAAATTTTTTACATGTGCTTAGGGTAGATTTGGACATTCCAAAGCACAAAAATCAGAAGACATTCGATAAACAAGATACTGTAGTTCCAGATACCGTGCCACTAGAGATGAGTGATATTGAAGAGATAGATTATTCAAAGACAGAATCTTATGGAAATTCCCATGACAAAGTAGGTACTTTGGAGTGTTCGATTAATAAGTCTCCTCGATTGGAGCCTTCTATTGATCATGACTTTATAGATGATTTGAATAAATTAGATGATAGATTAGGACGTGAATTACCATTAAATACCTCAAGCAGTAATCAAAGCAACTGTGTCTGTGATATAAGTAAATCTACTGATGCTTTAAGTATTAAATTATGTGAGTGTTCAGATACCATTGAATGTAAGTGTCAAAATCAAAGTCCTGTTTCTCGCATCGAACAACAAGCTATATCGGTTAGAGATAAAATCTTACAGGACTTCTGTGAAGACATGTCTCAAGAACTTAGTATTGGTAGTGATCTAATAACTTTAGTGAAGCATCCATCGTGTTCTCCAAGATCAACACCCCAAAGGCTTCCTCCTGATCTCAGAGCAATGGCGTGGTCATCGCCTATTTTTACACCACCTTCAGATATTTTAAGGACGCGCAATTCAGAATCTAGTCATAAAAGTACAGGAGTATCAAAGAATATACGTAATCAACGAGCTAATTCTCCACAACCTGGTGCTTCACAAGATAACAATGTAACTTCTATAAGTTCTCCACTTCATTCCATTTCTATAAGTCCATCTTCATCACATTCTTCCCGTTTGATGTCACCTCCTACAACGAGATTTCTTCATCATCCTACTCCACGTAAACAAACAAATATGCACTCTCCTCCTCCAATTATTAACTCAACACAATCTAGGACTAGAGCTACGCATAAGCTTATTCTTGAAGCAGAAAAAGCATATGAATTTACTGATGAAGCACAAGAAACTTGTGAAAAGTTAAGCTCATTCAGAAAACGCAGGCTCGCTGATAAAAAATATGAATTTTGTGATGAAATAGAAGACGCAGAAAATATAGTTCCTTTTAAACACATACGTGACCAATTCAAACATCGTGCCTGTTCCATACATCAAATATCTTCCTCTCCAACAATGTCACCTGTATTGTCTAATGGGAAACGGCATTGGGTAGATTCTGATCAAAGTGAGACTGATGAATTCAATACACCTCAAGATATTTTAACCAATGATCCCGTTGAAACAAGTAAATTGATATATTATTATTTAATCATTTTTAACTATCAATGTAATATATTAATTAATCTTTATTTTTTATACAACAGATGAAAAAAATGTATTACGTCCTCTGAATCAAAATCAATTATCAAATGGAAGTGTACAGAGAGATCGATTTGGAAAATTTGGTTCAAATTCACCATTGGTTCCCAAAATTAATTTACAATACCCTTATATAAAGTGTACTGCACATTTCAGAAGAAGTTATATAGAATTGGACGATGAAATGATATCTGTCATTACTGATGTTGAAGGTATACTAAAATGAATGATTGTATTGTATAAAATAATTGTTTAATTATTCAATTTTTGTAGATGAAGAAACTGGAGGATACGTCAGTTATCAATGTGTGCTTCCAATGCATGTTCATGGCTCTGGATATGTACAAATGCAAATGATCAGCAACAGTAAAGCAGAAAAATTGGTAAAATTATATTTTAAAAATAAGTATTAAAACATTACAACTATCTACAATTATGAAAATAATAAATTTTCAGGCAGTACCTTACGTGTCTATAAACCAGTTAAGTTTTGATATTGAGACATTTTCTCATCACATTGCAGATTGGATTTGTACAAGATTCAATAAAAAATATTGGCATTGTAGTGATTATGACATTGAAATAATTGATATATGTGCTCTTAGTGGTGATATTATTTGTTTACTTATCATGAAAATCCAAGCTAGTGAACTATGTAATCAAACACAATGGTAGGTCCATTTATTTTTTTATATCAATTTGTTTTTTACTTATATTATTTTACTATGATATAAACATTTGTAGCACTCTAGAAAGAAAACAATACGAAGTTGGATGTAAATTTACATGGAATATAGATTCAAGTGAATATAGAATAACTGATGTATTACCAATGGAAGAAGTTAAAGTGGAATCCTCGAAAAATAATTCAACTCAAACACCAAATTGCCGTTCTAATTCATTGTGGAATCCGACGAGACGATTAGCACCACAATTGAGAGAGAAAATTCAGCAGCCATATGCTCATTCTGTTCGCTTTCTCCATAATGAAATGAATTTAGCTGGTTAGTAATTTTATAGAAATTAATGGTTTATATGATTCATGAAAAAAAATGTATTAAATAAATTACAGGTGAATCTATAGTAAGACTCAATGATTTAGATAATTTGGTGGAATTTTATCTTACTCCAATAACGAATTATCCAGTAACAGAATGAGAAAATATCAAGTAACGACATGCCGCAAACAATAATTTATTTATTAACGTAAACTTGTGATTTCTATACTGTTTAAGGGAACGTACATAATATTATGATTGTATGTAAACTTACAACATATAAATTACTATAATTATTCTTTCGAAAGAGGAATTATTTGTTATATAAACACGATTAATAATAGCAAGTATAATTATTATAAATTGTATAGATATCTATTTACTTTGTGAGATTAGTACATAAATTTATGCTGTTGTGTGATTTATCCACAACTTAATTAGTATAAAGTAAGAATTTATGTAATAAGACAACGAAGTTTACAAACATTTGCACCAATTTGTAAATTGTATTTAAAATCCATGCTATAAATGACCTATGTTTCAGGTACACAATTTATTTCATTCTTAATAAATACATTGTATGTTATTTAAATTAACAGAACAATGAAAAAGTAATTTTTAGATAATATTTGGTCCCAAAGTAATAATTGCAATCAGAATTACTAGAATTTTATATTTTTATTATTAATAGTATGCAAACATTTGTCTTTCAGAATATTTTACGTTTTTTATTGTTTATAAGTTTACTTATAACACGATTATTTCAATTCAGTTTATTTCAATAACTTAATTTTGAAAGGTACAGCTTACTTGCAGCTTTTATTTTGTTATTTTTACGTTTTTTATCTTCCAATTTTTGTGTATACATGTTTATTGAAATCGACTACACGTATGTACAAAAAAAGGTAATATATACTAGCAATAAATATAATTATCACAATTAATCAACAAGAAAACATTTCAAATATCTAACAAGATTTTTTGTAATTTAAATATACATATATATATTAAGTATGTATTTTTTAGAAATATTTAAAAAGTGGAAATATAAAATATGTGCTTTTTTTTACTTTTTTAATTAAAGAAAATTAAAAATAACTGAAGCCCGCCATTAAAAATTATTTATTATTGTGAAAAAATAATGTGATATATCTTATTTTACTTGTATAATTCAATAAGATATTCAATATTACAATAAAATAATTAAAGAGTTATTCTCGAGGCTTGATTTTAATGACCAATAAATATTTAGACAGATGAATTATTACTGCAGTGTAATTAATAAAAATAAAATAAGAGTTTTCATCTGTAATTAAGTGTGCAAAATTTTATAATTATAAAGATACCGTTATGTAAAATTATTTTTTAATAATTTTGTCCATACTTCTAGGTAATATTCGGATCAATAATTTTTAAAGACAGATTTCAATGTTCTTTTCAGACAGATATATAAAAAAATATATCTGCGCTCCATAATTATACTTTCTTTTTAATATACTTAAATTTAGTAAAGTCAATTAAGGCATAAATATTATTTAGATTGCTATAAAAACTTGGACAATTAATTATTCCAGAACAATAAAACATTGATACTAATAAATACGGAAATGTAACTACTATAACATTATTTTTTTCTCTTTTTTTTTTTAATAAATTATGATAAATTCTTATTTTAATATTTATATAGACATTTGTTAATATTTCAAATGACAATATATAATTTATCATGAGTCTATACAGGTATTTTAATAGGTACTCCTAAAGTAATATCAGAACTTATACCATCGAGCTTAAGTGCAACAAGAACTTCCTCCCATGCATTCATGCACTGTTGATAATGTTGTATTTGTTGATCTGCCATTGTGATTAACATACTTTTTAAATCTGCTTGTTTTTCAGTATTCCACCTTTGAATATCGCTACGCAAATTCTCATTAGCGCAACCAACACGATCTTGAAGCAATTCCACCTGTTTTTCTAAACGTGGAATCACTTGTCCTAATTTTTCTAATTTCTCATCACGAGTTTCTGCTTTCCAAAGTGACCCACTCCAACTTTGTGTTGAGGATATGCCACTTGTAATATTCAGTAACTAAACGAATACAAAAAATAATAATAATCAAATTATTATAACATTGGAATTAACATGATTTTATGTTATTAGTTACATGAGTTAATATTTATAGTATTGTGATGCATACCTGATCTTTTTCAATTCTTCTTTTTGCTAATTCATCAATAATCATTTCATATTCAATTTGCATTGAATCTCTTCTGCTTAGGGCATTTTTTACTGCATCTATATATGTTACATATTCACGTTCTGCGTTCGGTACATTTTCTACAAGTTTTCTTTGAGCCATAGCAATACTTTCTATTGCTTTAGCAATTGCCAACAAAACAGGAGCTAATTCTGGTTCAGAGGTAGCCCACAAAGTAAATATTGGATGTAATTGACGCAATTCAAGTAGATAATCTGGAATATTAGTAATAATAAAAATCAAGATACAATATATATATGAAATAATTTATAATATTTAAAATTACGATATTATAAGTCAAACATTCTAGTTCATACCTTGTCTTTCCTTGTGTATACGATGATGAATTCTATCTATAGTAGATAATTTTTGACTTAGGGATGTACAATAATCACGAACTTGTTCAAACTCAGGTAAATGCTGTTTCATGGTATTTATGGTAGTCATATTTTGTAAAGAATCTGTCATTTTAACAAGCATATTTCCTCGATTTTTACGATGAATAAGAAATTCCTGTATAAATATGGATAAAAAATGAATAATTAATATTATATTAAAAATTCTTAGTAGATTTATATGTTAGATTTGTCTACGTACAGCTGGTTTAGTAGTCAAAAAAATTTGTAAGTTCTTATCATAACTGAGAATAGGATGATTAATAACCCTATTAAGAAATATTTGTAGAAGTTTCATACGTGCTATAATAAATTCTTTAGAATATCGATCTAATTGAGCCAATAATGTATGTTTTCCTGGTAAAGGCTACAAAAAAGAAAAGGTAAATATATTAAGCTTTTTTCAGAATATAATTCAATAATTAAAAATATATTAATGTGTGTTATTCATTTTATAAAAACTTACAGGAATAATATGCGTTGGATAAGAATCTACTAATTTTTGACGTAACCAAATAAAATCATTATAACGTCTGCAGACTACATATTCTCCATTTTCATATTCCGGACGTGTGACCTATAATATATAAAAATATTATGTTTTCACTGAATTATAGAAAATGAAAATCAGGTAAGAAACATACTTTTTAAAAATACTATTTAACTTACTCTAGTTGTTATACGAAATGTAATGTAAGTTTCCAATGTTTCAACATGTTTTTGTGGATTATCTACTTTGACTTTTAAGTCTTTTAAATCCATTTGAAAATCAGATATATCTTGTTCTGGTATCGTAGAAAAACTGTCAATAGATGGAGATGCAATCTGAAAAATCAAATTTATGAATTCCTTTCTTTTTTTAAATGATAAGTTTCTTTTAATGTTTTCAATATTACGTATTTACCACAGAGTCATCCATCGAAGTACTGCAATTAGAGAAAAAATCGGCATCGCGACTTTCTTGTTTAACAATTCCACCCATTTTCACTGTACTTATTTCCAAGATAGCTGTATCTTCCTTAGTTTTTTCTTCTAACAGATTTTCGGTTTTTTCTTCTGATGTCATCATTGTGGATAATTTGAAAATAACAATATTCGATATTAAACTTATTTTCTGTCTTTCAAGATTTCTTCCCTTACTCTTACTAACTATATCTTCTTGACGCTTCCCTCACTATCACAAGATACAACGCCATCTGTAAAATTTTCGTTATTGACATTTTATTCTACATTATTGTACATACATACGTAGTGCGTCAATATATTTATTATTGGTGCACAAATTTACAAACCTTATTTATATGTATATATAGATATATATATATGCATATGCATAACGTGAGAGCTTATTAAATATTTTTTTCTTTTATTGATTTCCCCTAGATTGCAAGTTTTTTTTATATACTTGATGCAGCGCCTGAAAGTATGCAACACTTCAAACATTCAAGTATGACGTACAATCACTAGTTATTATTCAAATACTTGGCGGTACCGTTAGATAGCGCTCACAGTCTCGATAATGATCGATTACATCGAGTGTTAAGAATCGTACGTATGTACTACGAAGATCTACAATAAATATACTTATATTATTTAATATAATTTACTAATATTTATACTATCTTAAATAAAATTACATAAATTAATTATATTATTATACTTTAATGAAGATTTGAAAAGTTACTCTGTACCACTTTTATTGGTATAACATAATATTTAAAGAAATAAGCTAATAATAAATTCATCGTTAAAAAAAATTCATATTTTTGTAGTTCCTCTCTACACGAAAAATCAATTATTGTAAATGTATATATATATATATATA